TGAATAACCTAAGATTCAGTATATAAAACTATTTTTCTCCCTACCACGATAGCTGCCGCATACCAATCATTTACATTGGAACCAGTGATAAATAGTGTGCAATTGGAATAGAGTACCGTTCCAGCAGGTAATGAATTTGGATAACATACACTGCCGCATTCATTTGCACCTTGTGCGAAACGACATTGTATGTGGTCATTGTCGGGATCGATGGCAGGTATTGGAATTAATCGTGCTATTCCTACTGGTATATCAACTGGAGAAATCATTGTAGATGCAGGTGGATTATTGAATTGGCCATTTGATCTCAATCGAAGATCGATTAGAGACAAGAAACTCCAACCACCAGTGATCCCTATTCCAACTGGCAAAGATAATTCACGCCACTGCCCAGCTGACTGTATAACAATACAACAGGATGCATTTTCTATGTTAATTTTGTCAGAAAGTTGAAGGACTGTCATATCCAGAGCGGCCGAGTAACCAGTATATAGTGCTCGTAGTATCAGAGTCCCAAATGGGCCTGTTTGGTCACAATTTTGTGAACAATGTATTTGGATAGTATATCCAACTGTTTTTGACGGATTGTTTATCCATGAATCATTACAAGGGGTCGATATATGAGTGACTGTGTAAGTCTGCGAAAGTAAAATTGATATGGTTGATCCTGAACTGCCCAATATCTTATACGTAATCGCACCACCTCGAAAATGAACAGCTTTGGCCAAAATAAGAAGACTTGCATAAAAAAGTAAAACAATATGTCGTTTCTCGATCCACATCTCGTCGATCTGGATACTTTATTCACAAAAACTACAGGCTTTGTTAATTAAATACGGCTTTTTTTTCTTCTCCCATGAAATGTGTACATGTGTAGATTATCTCAAGTTTCCAACACTCGTTCCGAGAATACGTCTTTGCTTTTGCTTCAGTATTATTTGTCAAAATCTACAGCCGCACAGTTAAAACTTAATTACGGCCGAGTGAATATCAACAGAAAATGGATCGTATGTCGTCATAGTGAATTACAAGACCTCGATGTGAAAAATGAACGTTTTATTTATTAAATTTCTGATGATATAAATGTATATCTCTTTGATTACTATGGAGAAGTATAAATGACGTTATGTTGTTACCGATAGAAAAACAATATGCGTAGTTTTTCGCATAAATGTTCAAACGACATCGCTTTTTACTCTGTATTACACTTTATTAATTAAAATAAAATCATTAGAATTATGTTCGGTTTGATGCATTGACTTTCATCGAAGTGTAAAATAGAAAAGGACATTCATCAATAAGAGTTCAAGTTGCTGGTCGAACCAGATTATTGGGTGCGTTAATCTGCAGGCATCGATCAAAATGAATTTTCCACAGCACATGACTGAGCTGCTTACGAAATCGTTCAGATGCACAGATATAAATGTAAAACGGACTCTAAAAATACCATAAATGTAAACAATAATCTATGCAACTGTTCGAGACTTACTGCAAAATATAAGTAGTAATTGAGAAGAGTTACGGAAAATATAAATAGAAATGTTTTGCGAAGATCCGGCTCATTGACAAGATTTGGGATTGTTATCACCATATTGATAATCGTATGTGGCAAAATCGTGAAAATATTTACGATAACTTGCACCAAAACCATACTCGTTAATTGTTTATCAAATGCCTGTCGAACTAAAGGCACGGCACGAAAAGCCATCCGCTTTACATTACCATAAGCCAATAATCCGAATATCGTTGCAATGAGAACCGGCCCGATGCCCAATAAAACGAGGACGATTACATAAGAACGGTATTGTGCAAAAATGAAGTCTGTACTAACGCATGAAACTTGATTTGTTGTCGGCGACACAGTCTGATAGAATAATATCAAATACGGAATTCCATGTATTGCCCAAACGATAACAATGAGACTTGCTAATTGTTTTGCTAGTCGAGTATTGCACCATGTTTGCTGACGAGGCCTTGAACAAGTCGCACAATATTGATCGAATGTTGCTAAGCAGAGACATGACAACGAACTGACGGTACAAATTTGAAAAATATAAGGCCGAAATTTGCAGTAGAACAGCGAAGTATTATTTCCATCGAGATCAAACAGAGTGATAAAAAGGCGTGGTAACAATCCACTTAATAACTGACCAATGTTTAAAATAGACATGACTGTTAAGTAAATTATACACGAACTTTGTCGGAATGTGCGAAGACTGAGGAAAACAATCAGATTCAAACAATTGCCGAATAGCCCACCGATGAAAATTGGTATACCAATACAATTGGTTAGAAGATTCTCAAGGGAGGATAAAGAGATCGACATTACTGGAGTACACGTGAAACTATATTCTGTCAAATGAAATTTGTAGTTCTATACGTGCACAAATTACTTTATACTTCAGCATGGCTTCTCCTTTTCACATCTAGTTGCTACGCACGAGCGACGATGAAAAAATAGATATATGTCATGCTTTTTAGAAAATAGTTCCTGTGAAGACCCACAAAATAAGACTGTAACCAAACCTAATCTTACTGTGATGACGAGTCACTTTGGTAGAGAAAGCCATCATGTGCTAAGTAGAAGAAATCGATGCGAAGTTTTTTAACCTTTTTGTTGTGCTATACGTCATGGTTAGTATATTACGAGCGTAATCTTTAAAACATCCACCAATAAAACGCACAGCTTCTCTCAAATGAAATTATTTTTGCGAAAACTGCTCTTTTTCCTGCAACACTAACTTTTGCATAGATCTATTTTTCTTTTTACTATGACAAGTAATATTTTTCATAGTAAAGAATTTGCTCCAGTCAATCAATTAACTATATCTTATTCCATTGGATCTTGACTTTTCCATCTTGGACATCTTATGAATACACTGTTACCTGTTTATTCTCTCTCATCTTTTGTTTACTCGAGCTGCTCATGAGCCTTTTAATAATCATATCTATGTTGTTTAACTCTTTCTTGACTTGCTTTATGGAATCGCGTCCATACTTTTTACACGCTAACGACATGACGGCGTTTATTCGAGGCTGTGCCTTAATCCTGGGACATTCGAATCGAAGACTCTCATCTTTCCGTGATTTAACGGTTGAACAACACAAAGTAATTTTTACAGTCAATTATTACTAAATAAAAAAATGAAAATTCCTCTTTCATTATATCCCATTAAGATTTTTTCTTGTCTACTGTGTGATTTACTACACTCTAGTAACTTTCGCTTGATTTTTGTTTATACTTTCATATTCAATCGATATTTAGTAGTGTCTATGTATCATGTTTTCTAATCGATTCATTCCTTTTCGAGTAATTCTTGTGTTGATAATTATTATTATTTCAACTTTCGCATTGTTCTTTTGTTTCTCATGGCAAAAGTCATATCACCCAGACAAGTAGTATCATTGAAAAATGGAGAAAACTGTTTATTCAAGTTTTGCTAATCTCAGTTGTATTTGCAAGTTGACAATCTTCATGGGTGCAATGTATCAGTTGTGCTCTCCGTTGGATATTTCATTAGATTCATTCGGAAATGCGATAAATTACATGTCATTCTCCGAGATTTATACCCTATTTCTTTTCCCATGTATTTATCTTGGAACACTACCTGAAATTCGTAAAAAAAGTGAGACAAATTATGTGATGGAGCAACAAAATATAACAGTGGCTTCGTATTAACTACCTTCGAATCATAATCTAACAGTGTATAGAGCCCTTGTTATAATAAACCCGTTTACAAAACGAAAAAATTCTGTTGGATCCTATCATATCATCTCATGACTAAATCGAATGAGAGGTGAGTGTATTTCAATAAATTTCTGTTGGATCGCTCAGATCATATATATGACAACGTTCTAGTTGTCTAAACCTGCATCATTCGTTGTAGAATAATATCCTTAATAGTAAATTTCATCCGGTGATGCGAGAGATACATAATGCCATCCATTGTGAGAATTAAAAGTTGCTTAATGTCAAATGCGTTTATTCTGAAATTGCTTGTTCACCAAAATATGTTCAATCTTCGTGTCGCAAAGAAACTACTTTGATCGATTTGAACAGCGCTTGTTATGACTTTTCATTCCATCACTCATTTGTACTGAATAGAATATTATCAGCTGCGGACAGTAAGTTAACCGAAAATTTCAATATGCGACTCCGTAGTGCTCGTTCGATACTTGGTTGTGTCACTCAATAAAATGTACATCAAGACTAGCAGTAATACTAAAGATGTAAGATATTCTACAGATGAAATCATAGAATTTGTTATACGAGACAAGTGCGAGGATGATGAAAATTTCCAGTTAATGAACAAATTTTAAATAAAACGTTTTAGATTGATGCAGAGTCATGCAATACTTCGAACGAATAACCGCTGTATGTGGTTTAAATACGATGAATAGTACTGAAAAGTGTATTACTATCAAGTTACTAAATACAGCGGTTTATTTTCTAAGCAGAACCGTTTTGTCTCGAGTTTGTTGCATTCAGTAAGAAAGACGTTTTAATAGGAAAAAATAATAACGCGTCACTATTTATACACAGGAGATAACCATGTTCTCTCTCGGGTAAATTCCATATAGAGAAAAGGAAAAAGCAAACTGCGTCAATCTCCTCTGTATAGTTATCTTTATTTATACACAGAACTGTGGATATGATTATCCTTTTGATCCACGATCACTGATGCTCAGAACAAGAAAACTGCATTCGAGTTTGCTCTTATTCAAAAAATCAGGCCATAGTAGCGTTCATACTGTATACACTGATAGAACGGGAAATCGTACGGGTTAATGCAGTTTTCACTTTCGACGGGAAGGCAACCTAAATAAATGTCATTCTTGTCATGACACACTCACAAAGTATAGGTGAAGCAACAGCAATGACGGATAATACTTACAAAGGTTTCCCGTCGGACTTTTTTTTATTGGCTGCTGCCTGCCTAGGTTCCATAATTTTCGGTTGATGTTCCTTTTGATTTAACATATTTGTAATTATCTTTTATTTATACGCAATAATCTACCTGTGGATTAGTATTAGAACTTGAAAACGCATCGGGTGTAGCTAATGATTTCGAGGCTTTGCTCTGACTTGGATTAGAACCACCTCTTCCGTTGTCCTTGCCGCTTGAGACTGATTGTCGACTTACAGAAGAATTGCCTGCGATATGTGTAATGAGATAGCGAAGAAAAGAGTTGTACTCACTAGACGCTCTTGGTCGAGAAGGTTTACTCGGTGAGTTTGAACGTGGCAATGATTGAATACGACTCAAATGTTGGCTTGATGTTTGTTTAGATGTTAATTCATTTGGAGAAGCATTCTTCGAAAATTTTGTTGCTTTTGATTTAGAATCATCACTCATAGGTGGCCGCGGTGAAGGGGATCTACGAGCAGGAACAAGCGAGTTTCCACGTGGTTTCGACTGTTCGATTTTTTGAGTATTTTCATTGCTCGAGAACGATGAAGAGTGATTGGTACGTACCGAGGGTGTACGGCGTCCACTATTCGTTTGATAAGAACTATCTAAAAGAATCTTTCTGTCTGTATTAGTGTTCAATCCTACCGCAAATGTCATTTACTTAGTGATAAAGCTGAGTTAGATCTACCGACGCTTCCTGATCTGGGTGCAGCCGTAGGCTTCGTTGGATGCTCGTTCTGATTTGAGAGATAGAATCAAATATGATTTTTTATCGAACACAAATGAATTACGTTGGCAGGTGTTGATCGCCTCGGCGGTGCGTCTATAGACATGGAATTTCGACGGCTTGATCTATCAATTTCAACTTTTCACCGAACGTATTGATAAATCAGCGAAGTACTCACTGAGCGGAATGTGTTCCTCGGCGATTTTCTTTCTCGCGGCAATCTTGCTATGAAAAAGATCATATTGTTCAGTTTGCACGAAATTAAAAAAAATCATTTTTACGACATGTGTAGACCACATGGGTAGTTCAACGGCTTCGTTGCAAAACTGGCATGGGATACGAATAATGCTGTCTCGACTATGAAGGTCACGCGCCACTGGACGAGCTGAAAACGACGACGAATATTTGGCAAAAACAATAATATGAATCATACTTTGCTGCGATGCACTACTAGCGCTCCTCTGCAACGATGATCGTTTGCGTGGAGTTGGAGGGGGCTGAGGTGTAGATGCATTTGACCCTTTTGAATCCTCGCAATTATTTGCATAATGAGTGACGAAAATACCTCGTGCTACAAACTTTCGACATCTCGGACATTCATCAGTTTTCTTTGCACATGCAGCTGAATGTTGATCTAATGCATCTTTTGACGTTTCTATTTGCTCACAATATTGACAAGCTAATGGCTGATGGTCGTCATCAGATGCCTGCAAATAAAATTCATGATTAAATCACGGAGACGATTCTGTAAACTACGTACTTGATATTGAATAGAACTTGATTCATTTATACATGGTGCATGAGTTCTATATATATTATTTAAAACTAAAGATAACTATGTTTATAGAGTCAACGAACTCACCGCCCCTGAGACTGATTCCGGACAGCTACGACAGCCATGAATAGGTATTAAAATCTATCGAAAAAATCTATGCATGCAAATAAAATGTTAATGTTAAGAAAAAATCCTACTTTCAAATCAACTCCACACCGAAAAATAATGAGTAGACATGTAACGTGGAGAAAAAAAGGAATTTTACGAAAGGTAAAAAAGATAAAGAACGGAAGAAAGAAACACTTGATATGACGTAGGGTATGATTTGATGTAGTCATAACACATGTCGACAAACCAATGCCGGACTTTATTTGACCGATTGGACGCAAATACTAAAACTTTCAAAATCAGACAATTAGATCACTGTATTATGAATATTAAACTCAAAGCAAAAAGTACAGCAAATAATCTATGAACTTTTGCCATAGTGGAGACTTCATATCAAGACCTTCAGTATTTGATAAAGACAAAATATGTTATCTGTTTACATGAATATACGAAATTTGTAGAAAATATGTTGCTTTACATCGCCCTCTATTTCAACTAGCATGTAGCTACCTGTTAGTTGTGTGGTTATTTGTTATGCTATTACACCTGACATGAATGACTGAGTCATTTGTTACACAATTTGAATGTAACCAGTCGTTTTTTCAACGTTCTACATTTTACTATAATGAGTAGAAAACGTCGACAGGTTGTAGAAGAGATAGAAGATGTGTCAGTTGAACCAGCAGCTAAAAAGGCGGCGAAATTCGAAAATGTCGATGGAAGATGTAACTACGCAAAACATCTTTTTCAAACAATAACTATGCCTATTCTTTTTCTTGTGTTGTTGTAGTACGACAAATTCCTGTTAGAAAAGAAAGTCGGTCGCTTCAAACGGACCGGTAAATGGAATGGAATGTATAGAAGTGTCGCACACGAATGTTGTGATGCGGAATGTGAACGTAAATGGGCACCGAAACCTGTACAGTGTTTAACAGACGATTACTATTGTCCATCGTGTGTTCTTCATCATCGAAATAACATGAACCGTTTTGGCGACGAAAGATTAAAGTGGACAGCGAATGTTCCGAATACATTCTACGTTTTTTCCATCATCGATCCGGGAACAAACTCGAGGGGTCAAACAAATCAGTCTCTGATTAAATTTGGTCGAACGCAGAACGAAGATGCTGTGAAACGATATCCAACAGCAGAATTGAAAAACTATCAAATGAAATTGTTGTTGAGTTTACGGGGGAAATTAATTACAATGACGAGAATTGAAAATTGGTGGAAAGAACAAGCGGAAAAGAATAAATGGTTTATGAGATTTAGTAATAATGCTTTTCATGGACAGACAGAATGTGTTCAAGTCGATGACAACACTCTAGCAGAGCTACTAGCCAAGTCAAAAGAAATGGCAAATGTTCAAGAAGAAACGGATTGATTTTACTTGAATAAAATTTCGATTAATGAACAGAATATTTGATAAGAGCGTCATAGTTGTTGCCCTCTTCATACTTAGCATAGATGACGACATCCTTTGAGCCAATTTTCACTTCAGTTTGAAAAATAGAATCTCTGTATCCTTCCGTGTCTATCCAGTGTGAATCGATCTGAAGTTTGACATCTTTGGCGTCTGGAATCACACATTTGAAAGGTACGACTGCATTCTTCTCGAGTATTCCACTCAATGGTTCGTAAATCCGACAATGATTTTCGCCGAATTTGCCGTAAGTAAACGGAAGTGTCAGTGGATTATCAAGATTTGTCACATTCAAATCGAACTCTGCTACACTATTGAACTTTTTCGTGGTATCTACTCGACGCCGTGCAAAAATAGACAACTGATGTAGACCTGTTTCTTGAGATGCGAATAAAAGTTGCCATTGCTTTTTCTCATGATCGAATTGTGTTAACGTTTGATTTTCTTTTTCCACACAGTTAAACATGATCTTACACAGAAGATCAACATCATCAGGTGTTTGCATTTGTACTTCAACATATGCAGCATGATCGGGCCAAATAACTGTGGAACTATTGATTGGTGCAATTATTTTCAAATCTAAATCGTAAAATAGCTGCCAGGTTTGAGGGTATGATAATGGAGTCGTTGGGATGTCTTTCGCGGCGATCTTGAATGCTACAGCAGAAGTATATAGACCTTGACTTGATTTTCGTTTTGCCATAATATCTGCTTTGAATATTCCATCACTATTTGGTGCAAATCTACATTGCCAATAATGCCGCTCGCGATCATAATAGACTTGATGTCCTCCGCGAACGTCTCCTTTCTCCCTATTTGTGAGTTTTCCGAGTAGTTCGACATCATCTGGTGTCTGTATCGCAATTTCTGCGAATGCCTCACCATCATCCAATCGAATGATATGTGTACCGATTGGAGACAGTACCTTTAAATGTAAATCATGGAATAACTGCCATGTTTCTGGATACGACATTGATGGTTTGGGAATATCTTTTGCATCGATGCTGAAGGCTACAGCAGAATTATACAAACCTTTATCAGACTTTTTCTTTGCCATAATGACTGCTTTAAACATTCCATCGGCATTGGGTGCAAAACAACAAGCCCAACAATGTCTGGTAGCATCATAATACACTTGATGTCCTCCTTCGATTTCATCTTCTTCGTCATTTATTAATCTTCCCAGTAGTTCGACGTCATCTGGTGTTTCAATAAGAATTTCCGCCATTGCTTGTCCTTTCTCCAGACGAATGAGATGTACATATAAAGGTGAAATAACTTTCAACTGTAGATCGAGAAATACTTTCCATGTTTGCGGATAACTGATAACACTATTTGGCATTTCTTCAATATCCAGCTTTAAGGTAATGGCCGAACTATGCCTGTCAGTTTCTTCAGTAGTACGTTTTGCGTAAATGTTAATCTTATATTTACCGGCAGAATTCGGAGCAAAAAAACAACAATACAAGTCTCTTTTTTGATCATGAATGACTTGATGACCACCTTCTACTTTTTCATCATGAATTTTCAAATCAGCTATAAGACTAACATCTTCAGGAGCTCTTACAAGTACCAGGGCATACGCTTTGTTTGGAAGAAGTTGTACATAAGGTTGGTGAGATGGATAGATCAACTCTAAGTTGAATTCGAAGTACGCCGGCTGTATATTGGGCATTTGTAAGAATTGTTTCATGGAAACAGCTTTTCTCAATAGTTGCCACCGATCATTTTCCGGTAGATGGTGATAAATCATTTGCTCCGGTCTCGGAAAGAAATAGTATGAATTCAATTCGCGTTTGAATACCTTCTGATCGTTTAAGATTCCTGCACCCCAAGTCGCTTCGACCAGATACCAATATTGATTGATTTGAACTGCATTCCAGACATGATCGGCTTCACTTGGCGCGTCAACACGTACATCAAATCCATAACCCTTCGAGTATCCGCGAACAATCTTACACGGAAGTTTCACATGATCACAAAGATACTTATAGATGTTAACATATCCATCACAGATGCCTTTCTTCGTAAGGAAGACATTTTTAGCGGATTGATTCGCACGATTTGTGGAAAAGTAGGTGACACTATCGTACTCAATGTTCAGAATGATCCAATAGAAAATAATCCAATAGCAATCGATTAAAGGTTTATTCTTGGATAGAATTTTGATCGCAGAAGTTAATTGTTGAAGAGATTCGAAATGCCAAGACTCGATGAGCGAACGATACGCTTGATTGTCGATCGCGTGTTGACGTTGTTCAACAAAGGCTTTATTATATGCTTCGGGATCAGCATCGATAATATCAACAAAGTATTCGTCTTCTCTATCTTGCTCTAAACTTTGATTGACAAAGGCGATAATTTGAGCCTCTTCATTCTCATTTTGAATGGAAAACTCTATAGGCGTCTTAATTTTCGAACGTTGTTCCTGTGATATGTCGATTGTTGTCGGAGTAGGTTCAGCAGTAGTTGGTGTTGCTCGAGAGCATGTACATCCCATAACAACATACAGTAGTTTGTTTTAGTTAACACACATCAAATGAAACATTTCTCGCTCTCTTCTCTTTGCTACTGTCTCACCACGCATTGGTGATTGCACGTGGTTGTGGTATGTATATACTGTGTCCTTCATCCTTTTTTTCAAGAACGAAGATTCACATCAACAATAACAACAACAGCATACTGGTTAGATAAAAATAAACTGCAAATGACTTTCTGTTTAAATGATTCTATAGATACAAAAGTTCAAAGTTGTCCAGGTACCTTCTTCATATTCTGCAACGTCTACAAGAACAAAAAGACGCATGAGAACTCACTGATGTGGAAGTAAAGTACGTTATAAACACTTCGGTGAAAGCTTTTTACTCCAAAGAAAAATTTTCTGTATTGTATCAAATTATTTAGCTTCGATTAATCGTCGAGTTTCAAAATCTCAAAATGTCGCTAACATCATCACTGCTTACTGTGCAACAATGTTTGACAAGATATGGAATGTTGGTTTATACTGTATTTGGTAGTATTGGCTTACTTATTAATGCCGTTATTTTCACTCGATCGCTTCATCGTCGAACATCTGTAAATCTCTACATGTTAAGTACGACATGGTGCGCCTTGATCGGTTTGCTTGTTACAGCTATTCCAATGATTTACGAAGTTGATAATTATAATCCGTTGACAACTTATCCATTTTATTGTGAAGGTATTTTTTATATCCGTCATGCGTTCAATCAGATGATGCGTACATTTTTCATTCTGACCTGCATTGATCGAGCTGCTGTATCAAGTATGAATCCTAACATTCGATCATTTGGTAACTGTAGGATTGCAATTCGAATGATTCCTTCTGTCATCATCTTTTGGCTGGCAGTTGCTTGGTTTCCTTCTAAACAACGCGCATTGGTGAACGGCAGATGTGATGTGGGTAGTGGCATCCATGCTAGTTTGTATTGGATATACGTCACAGTTGCTGTAGGCATTATTCCTTTCCTGTGTATGATAACATGTTGTTTACTGTTGAAGAGAAATTTACAGGCGATGCGAAGACGCGTTCAACCGATTTCAAGCGATCAACCCTTGACGAATTTGACTCTTCGCAAACGGGATCGAGATTTATTGCGAATGTTGTTCGTCGAAATCATTTGCTACACGTGCGCCATAACTCCACTTGTAGTGTTATTTCATTATAAACTCATCACGCAATCAATGGTGAAGAGTCAAAATTCTCTAGCAATCGAGTCTTTTTGCTATTATTTCACTGGGTCATTTCTACTATACATTAATAATTGCCTTCCGTTTTGGATCTATTTGTCTACTTCGCAATCATTTAGAATAGAATTCAAGAATTTAATCATTAACGGCTATTCAATCGTTCGTAATACAGAAATACCAACAATGAGAACCAACTAACTAACTCTCGTAATGAACCAATAAAATTTTGTCTGTCTCTCACTCACTCTTATTTTAAATTATCAATGTTTACTGTTTCGAAAGAGATGTTCGCGTAGTGTCTGTAATCCACAGAATGGAGATCGAGATTGCTCATTGTGCTTTTCATCCATTTGTGTTTGTTATTGATGAATATTTTGTCCGAATGATGATCAAGAAATGTAACACTCTTGTGCAATAATATTTTTGACCAATAAATGACATTCTCGAGAAAACATGTGTATCACTTACTTTTTTTCTTATCAAAGTGTAGGTAAGAAGAGCTTGAAGAATTCAACTGCGCAATTCCCAGTCGCATGGCACTTTCAAACTCGTCCTCGTCCGGAGATTTAAGTAGCAAATTACATATTTCCATATTTGAACATTTCTGCTCGAATGAATTGATTGAATTGTTTACCAATTTGAATCAATGTTTCAATCGATTATTACGCGATCGACATCTGTCATTACATTGCATGTTATGATGAATAGTCAACGCAATCTAAGCAGTCTTTCATCGGTTATTTCTTTACAACAATTAAAATCATTGGCACAATTTGCATCTCTTCGTTCCTTGACCATTTCCCGTTGATTTTATTTTGCAAATTTCACATTTGAAACATTTTCAAATTAAATTATCACATGCATATAGTCGAATTATATATACTCATCTCGTTCATCAGCAGAATGATCCAAAAAGTAACATCGACTGCAGAATATTTCGATAGGAAATCTCATTATGGTCTTCCATTCACACTTAATCTTTGGTGTCTTGGTGGATTCCTAACTTGTCAGCATATCAATCTTTTTATTGTGCACAAGCCTACTGAGAATTTGGGTTGTTTCTCCAGAATAGGCTTAAAACTTCATTCGGTCAAATTTAAACATGTGAATTTCCTCTCCGAATCGACGGCAAGTCTTCAATATTTGATATCGTTGTGTATCTACGTTCTAACGAAATATAAAATTCATCTGATCTCACACTTCAAAGCGCTCTCTCTGCAAAATGATTAAGACAAGCAAAATAACAGAGACTCGACTTTATTGAATTTTTTCTCACAACATTCTGAATAAGAACTACGTAGTATTGGTTTCGAGACAAGCCCAAAAGACATTTGTTTAGTCTATTTGCCCTGGTTTCAGTAGGATATGAAATTAATCCTGCTGATTATTATAATATATCCAGGAGGAATATGTGGCGCTTTAAAACGTCTGCTATTATCAATTATGACTTGATTAAACGACTTGAGATACACTTCGAACTTTCATTTGCAGTATTCTTCTCACGCGTCTATCATCCCCAGAATTCACCTAGTGAATCTCATCATCCATCTGTCTAAAACATTTCTTACACTTTTGAGTGAAAGTAGGTAAACTCACTTGCATAAACAAGACTTTCAAACAGACTTGAAGACATCAGAATGAGCTCATTCAACAGCGATCTCACGGATAAACTCAATGGTATTCTCGTCATTCTTTACAAATATATCGTTCCAATTATATATACTTTGGGTAACATTGGGAATATCATAAGTCTCATCATATTCTTGAAAAAATCTTGGAGAAAACATGTTTGTGTCGTTTATTTCATCATGTATATTTTCTTCAATACATGTTACCTCAATTCAACAACACTGGCATCAATCTTCATTTTTGGTTATCAAATCATGGCTCAAACCACGAACATTGTCTTATGCAAAGTTTACATTTATATGGCATTCATTTTTGCAACGATTTCACCAACTATTCTCATTCTTGCATCGATCGATCGTCTCTTAATCTCCTCTGAAAACATCCAACTACGGTTATATAGTTCAAAACGATTAGCTTATTTCTCAACAGGCATAAGCACGGCATTCTGGATGATATTCAACCTGCATGTTTTGATTAAAGTTGATATTCAAAAAGTGTCCCCAACTCTTACGATTTGCTATTACGATCTGTCGAAGTTCTATTTTGATTTTGTATTCTTCTCACTGATGGCTATTCACATTATTTTCGGGTTGATGATGTTTATTCTATGCATATTATCTTTTCAAAACGTTCGACGAATTCGAAATATCTCTCGACAGCAACGACGAAATCAAATTCGAACCATGAAAAAGAAAGACTTTCAACTACTTCACTGCCTATTCGTGCAAAATCTCGTTTTTATCACCTTTGCATTCTTGGTTAACAGCAACTTCGTATATGGAACTATCCTGCGAGAGAGTTCACCAACATCCCTTCCATATATAATTCAACAATTTCTGGACCAATTCTTATCAGTTCTTTACAATATTCCTTACTGTACGAATTTCTACATATTCATATTCATGTCCAAATCATTCCGGCAAGACGTGTATCGATTAGTTTTGAAATTATTTCGAAAGGAGTCAATGGTGTCCGGAGACGATGAAAATAATGAACATCATATTGCTGTTGCTAACTAAGTAATTGTACGAATAAAAGAAAGTTTTCTACTTCTGAAATAAATTAAATATCGGGCGACATCTAGTCTAGTGTGCTATTTGAGCATTTCCAATATGATCCGATTGGTAGCATCATCTGCGAACATAATCATCGCCATAACGCAACGATGGTTTCGTTAGAGCACACCTGTTAGAAACTGTTGATGCAATAAATTGTAATCTTAATCAATTAACGTGATGAAATCGTCTTTCTGATAGTGTATATATACGTCATGTGTTTGGGATTGTATTTCTAATCGAAAAATTTCAGATGGCATCGTCAAACAAAAGTTCAAAAAAGAAGACAGATTCAACCTGTGTGAATATTGAAATAAAAGATTTCTTTGAAATCGGAAATGATGTGAATGTTGATGAAATATTGCCATTATGGACAAAGTGTGTATTTTCATTGTATGTTTTTAAACTATTGTCATAACGTCAAACTGCTTTAGGGAACAGGAAGAGATGGTTCCATCGATTATAACGAACGTCGATCAGATTGAGCAACCAATCAATTACATAGCCGGTTTAGATATAAGTTTTGTCAAATCAAATGAGAAAGCCGTCTCATCGATGGTCATTTTCGATTATGCAACATTAGATATTGTGGCAAAAATCAGTATTTATTGCATAATCAAAATTCCCTACATACCTGGCTATTTAGCATTTCGTGAGACTCCAATATTCATGAAATTAATTGAAATTCAAAAACAACATTGTCCGCAGTTCACACCGCAAGTCATTCTAATCGACGGAAATGGTGTTTGGCATCCACGTCGTGCCGGTAGTGCGTCTCATTTTGGACTCTTGAGTGGCATCCCGTGTTTTGGCGTATCGAAAAACGTTCTCTATGTAGATAGTATCACACGACCTAAAATTCAGGAGTTACTAACCGAAAACGCGCCAGGTGTTGGTCAATATATTGAAGTTAATGATGATAGCGGCAATGTTCTTGGTATAGCTTATAATGTAACTGGGAGTGTTAAAAACGCTGTTTATATCAGTGTTGGACATAAGATAACATTGGCAACCGCTTTACAGATATTTGAATCTGTCAGTCAATATCGTATTTGTGAACCAATACGACAAGCAGATCTGCTCAGTCGGCAAATGGTTGCAAACATTTCATAAAAAAAAACTGTTTTTGTTTTCAGGATTTCGTTTCACTATTAGCTGTATAGATAAACTGTGATTCAAAAAGATCCTCAGGGTTACAGTGATCATAAATAAATGAANTCTACTTTTGAAATCAATTAAATATCGAGCGACATCTAGTCTAGTATGTTATTTGAGCATTTCTGATATGATCCGATTGGTAGCATCATCTGCGAACATAATCATCGCCATAACGCAACGATAGTTTCCTTATAGCACACGCGTTAGAAACCGTTGATGCAATAAACTGTAATCTTAATCAATTAACATGATGAAATCATCTTTCTGATAGTGTATATATACGTCATGTGTTTGGGATTGTATTTCTAATCGAAAAATTTCAGATGGCATCGTCAAACAAAAGTTCAAAGAAGAAGACAGACTCAACCTGTGTGAATATTGAAATAAAAGATTTCTTTGAAATCGGAAATGATGTGAATGTTGATGAAATATTGCCATTATGGACGAAGTATGTATTTTCATTGTATGTCTTTAAACTATTGTCATAACGTCAAACTGCTTTAGGGAACAGGAAGAGATGGTTCCATCGATTATAACCAACGTCGATCAGATTGAACAACCAATTAATTACATTGCCGGTTTAGATATAAGTTTTGTCAAATCAAATGAGAAAGCCATCTCATCGATGGTCATTTTCGATTATACAACGTTAGATATTGTGGCAAAAATCAGTATTTATTGCATAATCAAAATTCCCTACATACCTGGTTATTTAGCATTTCGTGAGACTCCAATATTCATGAAATTAATTGAAATTCAAAAGCAACATTGTCCACAGTTTACACCGCAAGTCATTCTAATCGACGGAAATGGTGTTTGGCATCCACGTCGTGCCGGTAGTGCGTCTCATTTTGGACTTTTGAGTGGCATCCCGTGTTTTGGCGTATCGAAAAACGTTCTCTATGTAGATAGTATCACACGACCTAAAATTCAGGAGTTACTAACCGAAAATGCGCCAGGTGTTGGTCAGTATATTGAAGTTAATGATGATAGCGGCAATGTTCTTGGTATAGCTTATAATGTAACTGGGAGTGTTAAAAACGCTGTTTATATCAGTGTTGGACACAAGATAACATTGGCAACCGCTTTACAGATATTTGAATCTGTCAGTCAATATCGTATTTGTGAACCAATACGACAAGCAGATCTGCTCAGTCGGCAAATGGTTGCAAACATTTCATAAAAAAACTGTTTTTGCTTTCATAATTTCGTTTCACTATTGACTGTATAGATAAACTGTGATTCAAAAAGATCCTCAGGGTTCCAGCGATCATAAATAAATGAAATNAAGATAACATTGGCAACCGCTTTACAGATATTTGAATCTGTCAGTCAATATCGTATTTGTGAACCAATACGACAAGCAGATCTGCTCAGTCGGCAAATGGTTGCAAACATTTCATAAAAAAAAACTGTTTTTGTTTTCAGGATTTCGTTTCACTATTAGCTGTATAGATAAACTGTGATTCAAAAAGATCCTCAGGGTTACAGTGATCATAAATAAATGAAATTTTGCACAAAAATAATTAGTGTGGTTAGATAGCGTCGTTGATGTTATATCGAGGTGGGATTCGAACCCACGTATCCGTTAGGATAAAGTGCCTAAAACTTTTGACTTGGACCGCTTGTCTACACGAAGGAATCAACATACATCGCTAACCATAGAATTCCTTGCCGTTTTTAACTATAAAAATCGGACGAATTGAAGGTGGTGCAATTACATGACTTCGTTTTCAAAATAAAACGACTCATCAACATTTATTGCTATTTTCTTTCGTACGAGTAAGCATCGGTGAGATAAATTTGAAAGAAACGCAAATAAAAACGAGTATCAAACCAATTCTTTTTCTTTCTGTTAATTTTGCGCACGTGGAAGAAGTTAGGGGTTGCCCTTTTTTCGTACTTTTATCGCTCTTGCATCCCTTCACAGTCGAGTGTATCATACATTTTTTTCGTGATAATTAATATTGCTTATAGTTTATCGAAAATTTTAATCGTTCATCATCTTGGTATTTCACAATCCGAACGCATTGTTTGGCTTTGTGAAGAACTGGAAATTCCCTATCAACTTATCCATTATGATTGTGATCGTAAAACACGTCTATGCCCGCAATGACTGTTGGTTTAATGGTGAAAATATTAACGAAAGACACAAACCGAGCATCCGATAGTGAACACATTTCTACAACGTGTCAATCGAGTGATGTCTCTAGTTGAAGACCGTCTGGGTGCAAACGAGTACCTAGCTGAAAACGAATTCACCGCCGCAGACATCATGATCCTGTTTCCATCGGAAACTATACGAGCTTATTTAAAAGGCATTGGTGCACGTCGTGGCTATCAACGTGCTATGAAAAAAGGAGATCCAGAGTTTACGCCATTACTGGATTGATACGTATCAGTTAAATCCATAAGGTTTCCTCTGATTTTGATTTGCAGCACGATCTCTATTACTCCATGTGAAATAAATTTCCGTAGACTACGATGAAACGTGACATAACTATTTGTACAGTGCGTCAACGATTCTATATTTTTTACATTTCGTTTTACGATTAAAGCGCAACACAAGCGTTCGATAAGAGAATTCAGTTGGCTTTTTCCAACAGAAGTATGTTGTTCTGTCGTCAGTTGTATTGCAAATACAACGTGAAAACGAACGAAGTTGCTACTAGACGATTTCAAAATTGAAATCCGCAGGGTTTACATTTATTCACGCGATTATAGAAATGGCAAGTAACTATTGGTTTGAAGAAGATCTTGAACGTGTTATAGAATCATTTAATCCAACTAGTTTCTTCGGACTTCCTGCTTCTATGTTTAACTCAAAAGGTGATCTACGCTACTGCAATACGGAACCTCTGAAATTAACTCGTGGACATTGGGACTATTTCACCCCATTCAAAGGATGGATACGCTGTGGCTTAGATATCGACAAGTTTGGTAATAGTGGCGCACAATGGCTGGCTTGTGATGGCGCTGCGGGCGAATGGGCAGTTGGCTTCCATGGTCTTCGACGCGATGTATTAGAAGTATTGAAACGCATAGCGTTTGAAGGATTCAAAGTCTTTCAAGGAAAGTACAGTGAATGGGGCGCGAAGTCAAAGGATATTGGTCCCAATGCATCTTCATTTCAAGAGAAAATTTGTGGCCAGGGTATATTTTTAACACCGCAACTGAAATATCTGACAGACAACATTGAAAATTGTAGATTAATGAAACCAATTCAATATAATAAGTATTATTATATAGATGTTGCTCTACAATGTCGCATACAACCGAAAAAGATTCGAGTGCCTGAATGTGCTAGCAACCAATATTATATTATTAATAATCCAATATATGCGCGTCCGTATGGAATTCTTGTACGATTTATGACCGAAGCCGAAGCAATCACTATTTTTGCTGATAATAACTATAACCTAGAGCCAGTTATTCCATTTGTCGAACAGGACGTAACTCCCGTGAACTAATCAATAAATTCACCTTGTATTTTCGAACATTCAATGCATGATCATGTAAAATACGATATTTCTCTGTCTCTGAAAAGGTCGTTGAGAATGATTTTATACGTTCGTTGTTTTCTTCGTTGTGTTTTATCCCCATAATTGCTTCTACGAATAAGCCAACAATGAAAATTGCTTTTTTTTGGATGATACAAATGGTGTGCGCATAGAACAAATACCAACTCCGTCGGTGAAGTTTGTCGGAATCGGTGGAACAGATGCGCATGAATATTCTCATGATACATTGATTGTTTTTGTGAAAGAACCGCATCCATTAAACAGGCATTGTGGTACAACAATAATGGGATATGAGTTTTCTGGCGTAGTTGTCGAAGTAGGAAAGAATGTTTGCAGTGGCAATGACAAACCAGGTGACTGACTCGTCATAGAACCATTTTTCAGAAATCAAGAGAGCATTTATACATAAAATTGAGAGCACAATCTGTCCTAGTCAATGGTGCATATGCTGTTCATTTGAGTGACTTGAAATCAGATATCTATTCGTGATGAGTTATGTGCTATCACTTCTGCTTGATTCGAGATGAAACATGTGTCGTATTTGGTGCTGGCCTAGTCGGTCTACTGTGTCTTCAAGCAGCCGTATCTACTCATACTATTGTTGTAGAAATTTATGACAAACGGCTCGAGAAAGCGTGGGAAATGGATGCGTCATTGGTTATCAATGGTAAAGAAGAAAATGTTTCGCAGCAAATCAAAAACTAATAACATTGATAATATTGGTGCACATGTTTATTTCGATGCAACTGGTTTAGAATCAACATTTACAACGGGCATTGCATCTTTGACAAACGGTGCTAGGGCTATACTGATAGCCATGTTTGAAGAACCAGTCAAATTGAACGCGATGGATATTGTCTTGCGTGGAATTACTATTAAAGGAAATACGGATTATCGGCAAACGTTCCCTGAAGTGATTCAACTTATTGATAGTAAAAGGCTGAATGTCGAACAACTTATTACAAAGAAAGTCAAATTGAATGATATTGTCAAAGCCTTCAGAAATTAAAATTCTATTTGATATGACCTTGAATTCTTCGGGAAAATAGTTTTGTAGCAAATGCTGTCAAATGTGTATGCATATTGCTACAAATTAACATAATTACACACGAAATACATAAAATGCACGTTCGTAGTGAATAGTTTTTAATTCTCTATGTGCTTAGAGGCTGTGGAGCGACCTGATTAACCAAGACCATGTTTCTTTGCCAGTGATTTCTGTAGATTGTTGAAGTCACATGAATTAGCTGTTGGCGAAATCGACTCGAGACGCAGGTGTATACGTAAAATTGACTCTACAATTACACCAACAGAAAAAAAATATTTCGCTGTCCTATATTGACTTACTGAAAAATTCAAGTAATATATGCAAAGAGCCAAAGTAGTGGCGAATTGCAATATTTCACTAGCGGACGGATTCTGCCTTATGTTGTTGTCTAAGCTGAGTATGTTAACAATGAGATAAGGAATCGAAACGAAAACGATGCAAATGGCTTGCATCAGCACTATTGTTGTCATTTGCTTGTCTAATTCACGTCGCACCAGAGGTACCATTCGATAAGATAAGTTTCTTACGTTGTGATACGCCAATAAAGCGAATAAAACATCGATGAAAATAGGGAGAAAACCAATGAATACAAGCGTATAACCTTTGATGTTGTAGTCCTGAAATACTACATTGGTACTGATGCAAGAAAATTTGCCGGTAGCTGATGATTGGACATGGTCATAATAAATCAGATATGGAACGCTATAGAGCATCCAAATGACGATGAACGAAACGCTTGTACGATGAGCTACTTTGATGTTGTTAAATGATCGCCAAAGAGGATTGGAACAAGTAGCGAAGTACTGATCAACTGTTGCCAAACAGATACAAGTGAACGTTATTAATGTGCATGCTGAACCGAGATATATTCGGAATTTACAATAGAATACGGATTGAAGAGTCCAATCAATACCGAAACCGGAGATCATAATACGAGAGAGAAAAGATGCGAGCAATTGACCAATACTAACGATTGACATGACAATCAAGTAAAATGCGCAGGAATTTTCTCGAAACGTACGAAGACTGAGAAAAACAATGAGATTTAATGCATTACCAATCAGACCAGCAATGAACATAGGAATACCCAGATAGATTATTATTTGTTGAGAAATAGTAGTCCATGATGAATTAGCTGTTGATGCCATGTTACAATCAAGATTCCCTACTCGTATCTATTAGTAGAATATTTCTTATATGTGCGTTTGAAATTTAATTTATGATAAATTAAAAAGGGTCACTCAGATCGCTCGGCGAAATAGAAGTCTTTGTGAATGACAAGAAAATCTTTTAAGTATGACGAAGATTACACAATTGGCTTCAGTGGGGATCAGAGAAGCTTGAAGAATGTTTGCTCTGATAACCGACAGAAGGAAAATAAAATGAGATGTGACAATTTTCATCGTATTCACCGAATCGTTAATTAGATGCTGTATATCTCCACAAAGTTCTCGCTGCTCTTGCACTTTCCCCTTTGTAAATAGGTCAATAGAGTGTTTAATTAAATTTCAAATTGTGGGAAATGTGCTCGCGGAACTAATAACAAAATGCTATCTTGGTCGTCCGAGTAAATAATGATTATAAGTATGAAAAAAGCTAATTATGAAAAAACTTTTCTTTATTCTCATATTCATATCATGTAAGACACAAACAATTGAGAAAGTTTAATTTTTGACCTGAATACTTCATCAAAATTCATTCAACTTGGTTCTTCATACGCATATAAGTTGAAATCTAAATTTAACTTTCATTTCAGTATTCGATTATTCTTTTCAATGTGAATCTGACTTGATGAGATACATGAAGTGCCAAAAACTTATTAGTTTTCATAAACAGCGCGATATCTGTAATATTATGCTAGTGTACGAATTGTCATTCACTACTTAACACACACAAGAATTTGGTACTGTTGTAGATCACATCTTTCATATAGTTGTCGTTGTGTACAAAGTGTGTCCTTGAAAGTCTTGTAGAAGTAGCGTGTAGGGGTTAGAGTGTCGGCAATGAAGGTCAGAAATGGTGATCTACTCATATGTATACCTTCAAAAGAACAATAACAAGTATGAGTTATATATCTATAGAAATGAAACTAAATCAATTGTTATATTCTGAAACTAACACGAGTCAGATGTCTTGGTAAATATGTATAAATATTTATTTATATTGCATACTTGAATTTTTGAATAGCTGACTTCAAGTTTTAAGATTGACGCTACTGATGAGTATCCAAGGGTACCATTTAGCATATGATTTCAATTCACAATTTATTCTCATATAATAGCGTATGAACCTTAAAGAAAACGACACCATACATTCTTTAGTCGAAGATGTCTTAATATTAGGCATAAAAGGGTTTTTGTTGCAGTAGCAAAACTAAAGAGACTATAATGATTTATCGTAAATAGATTCAAATAGTAGATGGGCTTATTCAAAGAAACTCATCGTGTACCATTTCTATCTTATATGTTAGTTTTAGAACACGAAGATAATTATCATTACTGTTTGCTGTTTACATAGAACTGAAAATGATGTATTTCTCTTTATTTTTTCTCCTACTTTTTTTTTGCATTCTCTCGCTATTTCATCAAACGACTCCACAATAGAAAAAGAATGACTTAAACATTTCCATTTTGGATATTAGTCATGTTCATAAGCTCTTCCATAGCTCAATAAGTGCAACGTTGTATTCACCGCGTAGGATACCTTCGGGCAGGATTCGACATTTTCTTGAGCGGATTCGTTTCAGCGTAAGTTCCAATCAAATTAACGGTAGTTCCAACTACAACTTGATGAGCGCTATCGATTCCAATCATAAAAAACTTTCACTCCACCCTCACCCTCAAGGTTTAGATCGATTCTGACGTGCGGTTTCAACGTGCTCGTTTTGAAAAGATGTATCGTTATTCCGTATAAATAGTCGTTGATCTTGGATCTTTTTATTGTTTATCAGGTATCGTCTGCGGTGTGTTCGTATTTGTTTACCAGGAATGAAAAAGAAAATTCGAGTATATGAAAATTCTTACTGTTTCGAATTAGATAATGTTAATAATTATAATTAAACCTTGAACTGCTAATCGTCCTGCGCTCTCTTTCCGTCACGGACGAGAAATGAAGTACTCTTTCCAATTAAGGATGAGCGAATAACCCCAGTAATTATCCTCTATTTTGGTGAAATAGTGAAAAGAAGAGTGGGTCACAGCATCAATATATTAACAGGCTCTTGCCTCGACAACGACTCAATTTATTATACCGGCCATACCAGCCGACACACGTTAATATATACATACGAGAGGAAACGAGAAAGAGAGAACAAAAGGCGCTAACAATGCTTTTTTGCAGTTTTGGGGGATGTTGGGGGCAAGAAAATAACTTTTTGAAAAAAATTTTAGCAATCGATAGAGCTTGTTGAATTCTATGTGGAACGATTGTAGTGAATGTTGGAACGCATGCAGGAATGAATGAATCCTAAGAAAACTAGAATCGGGCGATAAGATGTCTTACGTCAAAAGAGTAGGATATTAATGCAAATCGAAGAAATATTCAGATCGTCAATGTAAATTGTGATAGAGGATGCATATTAACACATTGAAGGATGATCTTTTTTCGTGATTTTGAGTTTTGAATACATTGCGATCTGAGTTAGTATTTTCATATGAATCAGCATAAATATCAGTCAAGCGTACGAAAAAAAACATCAGTCATTCGCACTAGAATAGGTCGGTCATTAGTACTTTTAATTCCCATTATCGAAATCGAAAATAATATGTTGCTTATCTGCAATAGCGCAGATATATGCGAAACGAGTTCACGAAAAAGAAAATCTACATATCTGTGGTCTTTAGCTGCATGTTACAATCCTCCACTGAATCCAGGGAGGAGTCCATATGAGTATCCGCTCAAGAAATGGGTAGAATCAATTTTACGAATTAAAATAGAAACACTGAAGAAAGCATTCGGACTTCATACTTGGGAGGAGTTTTTATATAAAGTTTTAATGAGCGCTAGAAAGTACGCCTGGTTCTGGTATACAGTCAACAGTTGGTGTGATGTGATTTGTTATGCGTTTCAGAATGTCACTGATAAAAAAAGACTCGCTGCTTTTAAAAAGTTTTTGAACGAAAAGAATCGTATTGGCAAATTCAAAACATTAGTAAATAATACTGATCGCTACAGATTAGGAAATCGATGGCAGAAAGATATTATAAATAGTCATGAGGCAAATAAGTACTTAAGAAAACTACTTGAGTAAAACTGTCTTGAACGTATAAGAACTTTTTTGTGTCACTATTCGTTAGTACTTGTGCGGATTCAATTCTATTGGTTTTTGTCTTCATTTGCTAAACAAAAGAAACTGTTCAATAGATTCTTTGTAGATCGGAATTTGGAATCAACCTGCTTTATTTGTGTAGTTTCCTTTTGTTCACCTTCTTCCTTTACTTGCCTATGTATTTGTTTGTTTTTTCTTCTTTAAATACATGGTGTGTTGAATATTTTCTTTACAAATACATTTCTCATTCAGAGCAGATGGCGAGAATGCGTATAAAAGGTGTAATATATTGATCACGTGTCTGAAGGTGAGAAAAAAGCTTAGGATGAAGAGATTGTTATATGTAAATGATATGACGCATTGATTGAAGGTAGAGTCTGAGGCTGAAGGTGAATCATATAGGAAGAAGAAATGAATCTTGGTAGTTCGCTTGCAATAAAGAGACATAATCGAAATTGTCACCTCACATTATGCACGTCGCAAGGGATAGAAGCTGTGAATGGTGAAGGATTAAAGGCACTGCTGTCCATCTTTTCAACAGACGACGGTCAAAAAAAAATACGGATATTTCTTAAATGCTCACTGTATATTCAACTAGTTTGTAATGAAATAAATATTGAAGAGTTTAATCCATACCAAAACCGATGATCATGATCGCAAGAGAAAAAGCTGTGAACATAAGAATATCCAGATCTATTGTTATTTGTTCAGAAATAGCGTTAATGGTGAATTAGTTGTTGAAGACATTTCACAATAAAAATTGCCTATTCCTATCTATTAGTAGAACTATTGAACTTTCTAGACGCCTCTTATATGTGCGTTTGAAATTTAATATTTGAAATAAGTTAAAGAGAGGCTATTAAGTTCTCCCGGTAAAATGAAATCTCATTGGCCAGACATACGTATATTCCACTAATAATCGTGATACTTTTCTTCTTTGCAACTACGCAAATAGAACGTTTGATTATATTCGAAATTATGGAAAACTGATCGCTAAATCAATAACAAATTTCTATCCTAAGGTTTTTGAATAACAATGATCATGACTGATCACAAAAGTTTCAGAAACTTTTAAAAACTGTGTTGTTGCATTGTACGATGAGTACATTGACGTTTGTTTTCTCTCTCGATTGCGATGAAAGCAATTTCATTTTTTCACTAATGAAAAATAATCTTCAATTGATAATAATCTACTATGGGTGTTTTGTCAGATGGCAGTATATAGTATAAAAACTGAGTGTATTCATATACTGTGATTAAATTTCGAATCAATACGAAAATGACTCTCCTCAATATTATTTTCATCGTATGTGCTGCAACGACCGTTACATTCGCTGCTCGCACTCCATCTGAGCCAAATGCAATTACGTGTATGATTTATTGTCCATATGGTTTCCGTCGTAATGCCGATGGACAATCCATGTGTGCGTGTAAGAAAAGTCCCTGTGATGGAGAAGAAGCTCCACTCGACGGCTACTTTTGTGGGCGTGGCTTTAATCGTCGTGAATGCCCATCAACGCATCAATGTAAGGTAGCACCAAACGATGCTTACGCTGTCTGCTGTCCTCGTGCTCAACAAACATCTAAACTTAGTATATCACCAATTAAAATGGGTTCTTGCCCAGTCCCGCCATCAGGTATGATGGGAATTTGCATTGCTCGATGTACCGATGATAATGATTGCCCTGGTGCTCAAAAATGCTGTGGTGGATGTCCACGTCAATGCACCAAACCCGTCCTGGCATAACAAATAAAATTTATTTGAAAAAAATAATAAAACCTCTGCCTATGATACGATAAAATATAAGACTAAGCTATATTTACCTGTAGTATTACCTAAGTCATTTTGGATAGGTGTTTTTCGATAAAAAGTAATATATTCATAGATCGCTCCTGGATGGACTCGAACCAACAATCCTCCGGTTAGGAACCGGTTGCGTTAACCATTGCGCCACAAGAGCAGATAAAGAACAGCGCGAAAATAATTTTATTTTTGCTACAGTCACTGAATAAAATCAGAGTATGTGAAGACGGTTATAATGCAAATGAAAGATAAACAGAACTTTGAATGATAGACGATCTGCGCACTTTCACAGTTAAGATGATAGAACATTCAAATCTTGAAACTTTGTCNGGAGATCCAGAGTTTACGCCATTACTGGATTGATACGTATCAGTTAAATCCATAAGGTTTCCTCTGATTTTGATTTGCAGCACGATCTCTATTACTCCATGTGAAATAAACTTCTGTAGGTTTCGATGAATCGTGACATAACTATTTGTACAGTGCGTCAACGATTCTATATTTTTTGCCTTTCGTTTTACGATTAAAGTGTAACACAAGCGTTCGATAAGAGAATTCATTTGGCTTTTTCCAACGTGAGGCCTTTGTTCTGTCGTCAGTTGTATTGCAAATACAACGTGAAAACGAACGAAGTTGATACTAAACGATTTCAAAATCGAAATCTGCAGGGTTTACATTTATTAACGCGATTATAGAAATGGCAACTAACTATTGGCTTGAAGAAGATCTTGAACGTGTTATACAATCATTTAATCCAGCTAGTTTTTTTGGACTTCCTGCTTCTATGTTTAACTCAAAAGGTGATCTGCGCTACTGCAATACGGAACCTCTGAAATTAACCCGTGGACATTGGGACTATTTCACCCCTTTCAAAGGATGGATACGCTATGGCTTAGACATCGACAAGTTTGGTAATAGTGGTGCACAATGGCTGGCTTGCGATGGTGCTGCCGGTGAATGGGCAGTTGGCTTCCATGGTCTTCGACGTGATGTATTAGAAGTGTTGAGACGCATAGCGTTCGAAGGATTCAAAGTCTTTCAAGGAAAGCACAGTGAATGGGGCGCGAAGTCAAAGGATACTGGTCCCAATGCATCTTTATTTCAAGAGAAAATTTGTGGCAATGGTATATTTTTAACACCGCAACTGAGATATTTGACAGACAACATCGAAAACTGTAGATTAATGAAACCAATTCAATATAATAAGTATTATTATATAGATGTTGCTCTACAATGCCGCATACAACCGAAAAAGATTCGAGTGCCTGAATGTGCTGGCAACCAATATTATGTTATTAACAATCCAATATACGCGCGTCCATATGGAATTCTTGTTCGATTTATGACCGAAGCCGAAGCAATCACTATTTTTGCTGATAATAACTATAGCCTAGATCCAGTTATTCCATTTGTCGAAGAGAACGTAACTCCCGTGAACTAATCAATAAATCCACCTTGTATTTGCGAACAACCAATACATGATCGTGTAAAATACGATATTGCTGTCTCTGAAAAGCTCGTTGAGAATGAATTTGATACAATGATTTTATACGTTCGTTCTTTTCTTCATTGTGTTTTATCATTTATCCCCATAATTGTTTCTACGAATAAACCAACAATGAAAGTTGCTTGTTTTCATGATACAAATGATGTACGCATAGAACAAACACCAATTCCGTCGGTGAAGTTTGTCGGAATCTGTCGAACAGATGCGCATGAATATTCTCATGGTACATTGATTGTTCCTATGAAAGAACCGCAACCAGTAAACGGGCATTGTGGTGCAACAATAATGAGACATGAGTTTTCTGGTGTAGTTGTCGAAGTCGGAGAGAATGTTTGCAGTGGTAATGATAAACCAGGTGACTGAGTTGTCGTAGAACCACTTTTGAGAAATCAAGGGAGCATTTATACGTACAAAAACTGGAGAACACAATCTGTCCTAGTCAATGGTGCATATGCTGTTCATTTGAGTGACTTGAAATCAGGTATCTATTCGTCATGAGTTATGTGCTATCACTTCTCCTTGATTCGAGGTGAAACATGTGTCATATTTTATGCTGGTCCAATCGGTCTGCTGTGTCTTCAAGCAGCCGTAGCTGCCGATGCTACTCATGCTATTGTTGTAAAGATTTCGGACAAACGTCTCAAGAAAGCTCGGGAAATGGATGCGTCATTGGTTATCAATGGGAAAGAAGAAAGTGTTCCGCAGCAAATCAAAAACTAATTACATTGATGATCTTGGTGCACATGTTTATTTCGATGCAACTGGTTTAGAATCAACATTTACAATAGGCATTGCATCTTTGAGAAACGATGCTAGGGCTATACTGATAGCCATGGTTGAAGAACCAGTCAAATATTTTCAAATGTGTTTATATCTTGCTACAAATTAAAATAATTACACACGAAACAGATACAATGCACGTTCGTAGGGAACAGTTTTTAACTGTCTATGCGCTTTCAGGCAGTGGAGCAACCTGGTTAACCAATACTATGTTTCTTTGCCAGCGATTTCGGTAGATTGTTGAAGTCACATGAATTAGCTGTTGGCGAAATCGACTCGAGACGCAGATGTATACATAAAATTGACTCTACAATTACACAAACAGAAAAAAAGTATTTCGCTGTCCTATATTGACTTACTGAAAAATTCAAGTAAAATATGCAAAGAGCCAAAGTCGTGGCGAATTGCAATATTTCACTAGCGAACGGATTGTGCCTTATGTTGTTGTCTAAGCTGAGTATGTTAACAATGAGATAAGGAGTCGAAACGAAAACGATGCTAATGGCTTGCATCAGCACTATTGTTGTCATTTGCTTGTCTAATTCACGTCGCACCAGTGGCACCATTCGATAAGATAAGTTTCTTACATTGTGATACGCCAATAAAGCGAATAAGACATCGATAAAAATAGGTAGAAAGCCAATGAATACAAGCGTATAACCTTTGACGTTGTAATCTTGAAATACTACATTGGAACTGATGCAAGAAAATTTGCCGGTAGCTGATGATTGGACATGGTCATAATAAATCAAATATGGAATACTATAGAGCATCCAAATGACGACGAACGAGATGCTTGTACGATGAGCTATTTTGATGCTGTTAAATGATCGCCAACGAGGACTGGAGCAAGTAGCGAAGTATTGATCAACTGTTGCCAAACAGATACAAGTGAACGTTATTAATGAACATGCTGAACCAAGATATACTCGGAATTTACAGTAGACTACGGATTGAAGAGTCCAATCAATACCGAAACCGGAGATCATAATACGAGAGAGAAAAGATGCGAACAATTGACCAATACTAACGATTGACATAACAATCAAGTAAAATGCACAGGAATTTTCTCGAAACGTGCGAAGACTGAGAAAAACAATGAGATTTAATGCATTACCAATCAGACCAGCGATGAGCATAGGAATACCCAGATAGATTATTATTTGTTGAGAAATAATGGTCCATGATGAATTAGCTGTTGATGACATGTCGGAATCAAAAGTCCCTACTCCTATCTATTAGTAGAAGATTTCTCATATGTGTATTTGAAATTTAATATTTGATGAATTAAAAAGGGGCTAGTGAGTTCGCTCAGCGAAATAGAAGACTTTGTAAATGACAAGAAAATCTTTTAAGTATGACGAAGATCTCACAATTTGCTTCAGTCAGGATTAGAGAAGCTCGGAGAATGTTTGCTCTGATAATCGACAGAAGGGAAATAAAACGAGATGTGACAATTTTCATCGTATTCACCGAGTGGTTAATTAGATGTTGCATACCTCTACGAAGTTCTCGCTGCTATTGCATCTTTTTATTTGTAAATAGGTCAATAGAGTGTTTAATTAAATTCCAAACCGTGGGAAATGTGCTCGCGCAACTAATAAAAAAATGCTATCTTGGTCGTCTCAGTAAATAATGATTATAAGTGTAAAAAAAAAACTAATTATGAAAAAGTTTTCTTTATTCCCATATTCATGTCATGTAAGACACAAATAATTGAGAAAGTTTAACTTTTGACTTGAATACTTCATCAAAATTCATTCAACTTGGTTCTTCATACGCATATAAGTTGAAATCTAAATTCAACTTTCATTTCAGTATTCGATTATTCTTTTCAATATGAATCTGACTTGATGAGATACATTAAGTGCCAAAAACTTATTAGCTTTCATAAACAGCGCGATATTTGTAATATTATGCTAGTGTATGAATTGTCATTCACTACTTAACATACACAAGAATCTGATACTGTTGTAGATCACATCTTTCATATAGTTGTCGTTGTGAACAAAGTGTGTTCTTGCAAGCCTTGTAGAAGTAGCGTGTAGGGGTTAGAGTGTCGGCAGTGAAAGTCAGAAGTTGTGATCTACTCAAATGTATACCTTCAAAAGAACAATAACAAATATGAGTTATATATGTATAGAAATGAAACTAAATCAATTCCTATATGCTTAAACTAACACGAGTCAGATGTCTTGGTAAATATGTATAAATATTCATTTATATTGCATACTCGAATTTTTGAATAACTGACTTCAAGTTTTAAGTTTGACGCTACTGATGAGTATCCAAGGGTACCGTTTAGCATATGATTTCAATTCACAATTTATTCTCATATAATAGCGTATGAACCCTAAAGAAAACGACACCACATTCTTTAGTTGAAGACGTTTTAATAAAAGACATAGATGGGTTTTTGTTGCAGTAGCAAAACTAAAGAGACTATAATGGTTTATCGTAAATAGATTCAAATAGTAGGTGGCTTATTCAAAGAAACTCATCGTGTACCATTTCTATCTCATGTGTTAGTTTTAAAACACGAAGATAATTATCATTACTGTTTGCTGTTTACATAGAACTGAAAATGATGTATTTTTCTTTATTTTTTCTCCTATTTTTTTGCATTCTCTCGCTATTTCATCAAACGACTCCACAATAGAAAAAGAATGACGACTTACACATTTCCATTTTGGATATTAGTCATGTTCATAAGCCCTTCCATAGTCCGATAAGTGCAACGTTGTATTCACCTGTGATAAATTGATTCTGAAAGTACAGGTTGACAATGTAGCGTTTCAATATGTGGATAATTATTTTCTCCGACGTTTCTGCTGTCATATAGAACATTATTGAGGCAGTTATCTGCACCAAATTTATTTTCACCATCTATAATTCAAATTTGTACAAATCTAACAGATGTGAAGTGAATCTTTACGAGCCACCGTCCATTTCTCAACCTGTGATACAATAAATCTTGTAGGATGACAGTATTTCTTTCAAGTTTGCTAACGAAAATCAGCAACACATTAATATTAATTGAGGAGACGACATTCCAGGTCGACCAGGGATCGGTGCTAATCGATTATTTGTATTTGAAAATTTCTGTATTGCATTGACTAAGGAAAGATATGTATGATTCGAATTTCATTCTTTTAGAAAGAAAAGTAGTACCTTTCATTGAATAAATTTCGTCATAGTAGTGCCTTGAAGCTTAATTAGTGTATATATTTCGGATACTTGTGAATTTACTATGCTAATTGATTACGTAGTAGAGGTGTCTACAGGGCAGGGTGGCTCTACTATTCATGCGTCAACTATGAACTCATAAAAACAGCTGTTTTAGTTAAAGGATAAAGAAAATACTTCAAGAACATTGTCTTGCTTACTAATGATGCCTGATTTGCTCATCAGTTGTACACTTATGAAACTCTATTCAATTTGTGAGAGAATTCTAACTACATTAACATGGTTATAACAATATAATGAATCTCTCCTATCGACTATCCTGCAGGACAGGGCAGGGTAGGACAGTACAAGGCAGGATAAAGAAACGTGTCGTATGATTACCTTTATTACGTAGCTGCGAAGGATTTATATTGGAATTAGTCATCGGGAAAATATTTTCATTTTGCGCGAAATATTGAGTATCTTCATGACTGTAATGCGCATTATTATTTCAGATTGACAGTTCGACAGGAGGTAAAAAATCAGCGATTAATAGGACTGCAATTACTGTCAATTAAGAATCTTCCATACCGAACAAGGTGTGTACAGGTGAAGAGAGAAAAGAAAGCGCTGTTATCGTTCTTGTTTGAGTAAACACTTGATAATTGAGCAAATATTCGTACTTTGCTCTTTTGTGTCACAGTGAAACAAATTTTTCTCTCGAAATTGTGAAAAAGATTAACTAAATTTTATTTACTCTATGGAACTTTACCAGATATACAGTATTACTCAGCTTCAAGAGTAAAAATAATCTCTGTTGGTATGCCATGGTACAGAAGAGAAAGTTACAATGACCTGTAGCGCATCATTATCGTATCGTGTATAAGCCTGTGGATTATGATTGATTTTGTTAAAGAAAGTTATTTATCAATTTAGAATTTGTTTTGATGAAATTCATAATAAAGTAGAAACTTACTTTCTAGTTTGTATAAATCGCGAAAAACAACAAGACGATCAATTAGTGAAGTGAAGGACTTATAAACACCAGAATGGTCATAGTCATAGGTCATCATTAAACTGCTAGTACACGAAGCGCTGTGTTTTCTGCCTCCATTGATACAGCGACTCGTTGGTTGATTATTGCACTAGTACTGGGTTGGTTCTATTAGAAAGATGACACATTCACGGTTCGTCACATTCTGTTTTTTTTTTATAAATTTTTGCGGGACGAGTAAAAAGCTTAGTTGACTTCAGCAGGATAAAACCATCACTTTGATCCTTCAGAACAAAACTAAGCACAAAAGCATAAAATGATTGAAAATATATGACAGCAATATGTTTGAAATAAATTATGAATACAGATGAAAATGTTATTGAAGCATAGATATTTCTTTACAGATAAATTGACGATTTGCAACGATCGATCGGCAGCTTTCCAACAGGAATCATAATCACTCGTTAGATTCTATTCGAATTTGATATAATGAATTGTGAGGATTCTACACGAAAACGATATTAATAAGAAGCAAAGAAATATTCGGATGGTCAATGTGAATCATGATAGGGAGTTCATGTTACCACACTTTAGGATGATCTTATGGACGATTTGAGTGTTAAAGACGCTGCCATTTGAGTGAGTACGTTTATACTGAGCTAACATTGGAGCTAACTATTCGTACTCTTAACTATCATCGACTTTAATCGAAAACAAGTCACAAACACCGGTGATTGCTCATCCATAGCTAACCAATACCAAACGAAAACATTCTTCGTCAAATGGAGAAAAATTGAGAAAAAGCAACAAAAAGTATGGGTGAATAAAAGAAACGAAAAGAGAAATGAAAGGGATCTCCATTTGCATATAAGCAGCTGCATCGTCGATATTTTCTCATTCAAACGAAAGCAACTTCGACGCAATAATAAGTCCCGGCCAAACTGCCTTATCGAAATCAGTAAGGACATAAAAGCTTTTCTCAGACTCCGTCTTTCAGCGTAAACAAATGTTTCACTACTGGAGGGATCTGCATGTATATGGGCTTAACAAGCATCGAGCTCTTTCATATAGAATGGGATGATGACATATGGTTTGTTTATTCAACAGACTTTGAAGATTAGGAATTTGATTACACGAACACTGTGCTGTGACCAACTCGTGTTCGAAGAAAATGTGGATCATAGTTGTCTAAAGCACATGACAGCCATATCCACCCCGGAAACCTCCATCTTGTCCTGCCCTGCCGCGTCTTGCCCTGCCCTGCCCTGCCGCGTCTTGTCCTGCCCTGCCCTGCCGCGTCTTGCCCTGCCCTGCCGCGTCTTGTCCTGCCCTGCCCTGCCCTGCCGCGTCTTGTCCTGCCCTGCCCTACCGCGTCTTGCCCTGCCCTGCCGCGCCCTGTTTTGTCTCAGAATAAGGGAGGACAGATCGGAATGATATGCCCTGTAAGCAACTCCGATGTGAACGCAGTACTGTCAGTGACAGTAGGTAACAATTACTAGTTATTCCCTTTTCTGAAAGAAAGGGTTACAGCGTTCTAAAATTGGTGGCTCAAAAGCTAAACGTTTGTGAGTTTGTCCAATCCAATCAGATTGCAGCTTTTTATAAACCAATGAAACCTTAGTGGTGACTATCTGGAAATGATTTACCTGAGGTAATCAAGGTCAAGGATCATGAATCCGGTGTTAGTTTTTTAAAATTTCAATTAGCTAATTACTAATTAAGTAGCGAAAACTATTTCGGTTGTGGAGTAAGAGCTGACCGAACGGTCATTGATATCAAAGAATTCGAATTTGAGATTAGTTTTTCGTTACTCAACAAGATGCGTCTTATACCTTTCTGTTTCTAATGCAAGTATTTATTTCTGTATTTTCTAAAATATTGTGTAGAAGATGGTGGACGAAACGCCATCCCTAGACACGATGTGTGCGAAGATAGTGGCTTAAGCCTTTGCGCAAAAAGATTTAGTATGTCTTACATTATGGTATTTGCAATGGAAGAAATCAGAAAAAAACAGTATCTATTTAATATTGTATTTGTCTTGTGAGCTTTGATAAGTCAGACCTTTCTATAGGATTTTCAGGAAAATAGGCCTTCCAAAAGTTATGCTCCTCAGTGCAATTTCATCTTATTAACCATAGAGACAATTGCTAGGTAAATAGTAAAATAATATTGTAAACATATGAAGCAATATGACGGATGCTCTTTCCATGACAAATCATAATATAAAACTTTCTACCTAGTTTCTTTCAGCGATCAAATGAATGGCAAGCCACTACTTTAAAAGCGAGAATGAAAGGAAACATAGTCGTTTACTTTGAAAGTTAATCGAAGGTGAAAGGCATAGTAGAGGTAACCATGGCAATGGCTATTCGTGAGTGAAAGATCGGTTAATAGATAGACATTTATTTGGAGAATCGGGTTGAAAATGAGGATTGAAATAGCCAGACAGTCAATGATTTTCTGAAGAAATGTAATTGCTATATTGTTGTGAACGAGATTAATCTATTATCAGCTGCTAATACTGGAGAGAAGAATAAAGTGTATGCTTTAGATTACACTATCGTCTGAAATTTGAATAACTCTGAGGAGAACTGACCCATGATAATCGAGTTGACTTTTTGGCCTGGAAATAGGAAACTGATTATGTAAGCATCAACGACTAGGCGTTAATATCCCAGATTAACTTTATAGTATACATCTGGAACAACCGTACCAAACTTGAATAAAGATTTTTAAGAGGGATTTCATGGATGTTCCTTCATGAAAGTATTCAAAAGAGTATCATTTTCGTGAAAGTAGAGAAAAGAATCAATTGTTAGCTAAAAAGCACAGGCTAATATGCAAACTTAGCAAGTCGACAATTATACACCTTTCTTTTGTGGGCAACGTAGTAAAGTGTCCTGAAAAACCTTCATGTGTATAATATGAAAGTAGAAAACAGACTATAAAGATTCATGTGTAGCCGTGAGTGACTGGCTAGGGGAGGAGGCCTACGAATGATTAACCATTAAGTGATGGAGTTTTTAGTAAACATAGCTAGTACTTGAAAACTATTCTCTAAAAAATGGGTAATTGATTCGGTTCATGAAACAAGAAGAATGTTTGTCTTGTATTAATTCTCGTGCGGGACACGATGCCATGGTCTAGCCGAAATTCAGTAATAACCGCAGTGCCCTATTTGTTTTTCAATGTGTCTGAATATATTCGGCAGTAGAACAATTCTTTCAGAAAAGGATCGGCGAATCCATAGAATGAGTGTTACTTGTGATGTATTTATATCACTGTGAACGGAAAAAGGATTAGATGACACTTTAGAAAATCAAAACCATCTGCAAAGAATCTATGTGATGAGCGCTATTTAGTTACAGCTTTCAGTTTTTTTTAGACCTTGTCTCATTTTGATAATGATATTATCCTGTAATAGAGAGAAAATGTAGCATAGAAATAAGTAGACACAAAACGAGCACGACAGCACGGTTAAAATATTCATAAAATACATATAGGTTGGATTGCTCGTGCACTGATTGAATTTGATGATATTTTTGATGACGCGGAACCACTATTCAGTACATAGCCTTTGCTCTTCTTTAACACAGTGATGAAAAATTGGCTCCGCAATAATGATCGTACTCAACAGGCGCAGCCAGCGGCTAGTCCACAGTATAAATACATAATTGTGAATCTTTCTTTTTCGCATTTCTGTTTCGAAGGCTTCTCAAAAAATGGCCATTAATAATGGCTATACTGTTGGCATTCTGTGGCTTATTTGCAATCGCTACGATGATTGTCTTGTCGACAATCCCGGTGTACCTCTCTGCCAAAGATATCGGTTCTCCAACAGGGATCAACAACGATGGTATGTAAATTAGTGCTACTAATATTTTTCATTCTCACTATCTATGCTTGGGTAGGAAAAATATTCGCGATGGCGTTTGCTACCAACTATATTGGCAACACGCCATCTGGCATAACCAATTACAAATCAGTCGCGCAACAAGTACGTTTGTATTTCTTAGTGAAATGACGCCATTTGATTATATACATACTATAGATCAACGGATATATGGGCTACAGATGGAACAGCATTGGTATTCAATCAATTACCCTAAATGGTGTTGGCAAAAGAAAGAAGCGGGACACAACGTGAGTTGTTTGAGTATCATTTTTATTTATTGTCGCCTGTTTCATAATTTCGGTCGTGTCTAGTTCTGACGCCTTTTGTAATATTAACAATGGAACAAACTACAGTACAGCAAATGGCTCTGCTATGGAGATGTCCATTATCATCAACAATTGCCCAAGAACGCGATGTATCACAAACCATTGCATTCAGGAATGCTTACCTGAAATAAAATCCCACCTATCATCAGTGTTTGGTTCGGACCCCGTTTCATTAAATCTTCAAACTAGCGATGGACAAAGTATCAGGCTTTCCTGCAGATTTTGCCAGTTTGGCAACATCAGTTCAGGTAAATGCTGTTCGTTTAATATATATAAACTGTCTACAATGACACTTAAAGAACCTGATCGCGAAGGCCTGGAAGAACGAGAGAGAGGTTCATCGCTTTCGTTCCTCCTTAATTTGTTTAAATGAGCTGCTCCACATGAGCACCATATATTGCATTTCACTTCATCTCAATAGTAGAATCACCCACCGAAAGACAAAACCTGGATAATTTTTAACGATCGGTTCTCTAACACACGAGTCTAAATAATTTACTCTCCTAGGTCCAACGTGTGCTGATGGCGTTCAAAATGGTCAGGAGACAGGTCCGGACTGTGGTGGTGCCACATGCCTATCACAAGAGAAGACATGCGCCAATGGCTTAGGTTGTAGCAGTGCTACAGATTGTACAAGTCGTTTGTGTGCTGGCGGATTATGCCGAGGTGAGATTGTTTTTTACAGGAAAACTGTCATCGATTCTTTCTATCGCTTCTAGCACCAACTATAGAACCGACTGTAGCGCCAATCGCAGCACCAACATGCACCGATGGACTGAAAAATGGATTAGAGACAGATGTAGATTGTGGTGGTGCTACTTGTGTATCACAAAACAAGGCATGCGCAGATACCTTAGGGTGCACAAGTGGTACAGACTGCATGAGTGGAGTCTATACTGGTGGATCATGTCAAGGTAAGTGATTATGTGGTAGAAAAGTTAATCCGTAGTATATTCTGGTTCGTAGCACCAACATGCACTGACGGAGTGAAAAATGGACTGGAGACAGGTGTAGATTGTGGTGGCGCTACTTGTGTATCACAAAACAAGGCATGCGCAGATACCTTAGGGTGCACAAGTGGTACAGACTGCATGAGTGGGGTCTGTACTAGTGGATCATGCCAAGGTAAGTGATTATATGGTGGAGAAAGTTAATCTGCGGCATATTCTGGTTTGTAGCACCAACATGCGCTGATGGCGTTAAAAATGGGTTGGAGACAGGTGTAGATTGTGGTGGTGTTACTTGTGTGTCACAAAACAAGGCATGCGCTGATAACGTAAGTTGTAGCACTGGTACAGATTGCATGAGTCGAATATGTACCAGCGGATCATGTCAAGGTAAGTGGTTGTGAGGTAGAAAAAGTTAATCCGTGGTATATTCTGACTCGTAGTATCAACATGCACTGACGGAGTGAAAAATGGACTGGAGACAGGTGTAGATTGTGGTGGCGCTACTTGTGTATCACAAAACAAGGCATGTGCAGATAGCTTAGGCTGCACAAGTGGTACAGACTGCACGAGTGGAGTCTGTACTAGTGGATCATGCCAAGGTAAGTGATTATATGGTGGAGAAAGTTAATCCGTGATATATTCTGGTTCTTAGCACCAACATGCACTGACGGAGTGAAAAATGGGTTGGAGACAGCTCTAGATTGTGGCGGCAACACTTGTGTGTCACAAAACAAGCAATGTGCAGATAATTTAAGTTGCATAATTCGTACCGACTGCACAAGCGGAGTCTGTACTAGTGGATCATGTCAAAGTAAGTGATTATGTGGTGGATAAAGTTAATCCGCGGTATATTCTGGTTCTTAGCACCAACATGCACTGACGGAGTGAAAAATGGGTTGGAGACAGCTCTAGATTGTGGCGGTAGCACTTGTGCATCACAAAAGAAGGCATGCGCTGATAACGTAAGTTGCAATACTGGTATAGACTGCATGAGTGGAGTCTGTACTAGTGGATCATGCCAAGGTAAGTGATTAGGTGGTGGGGAAAGTTAATCTGCGGCATATTCTGGTTCTTAGCACCAACATGCACTGACGGAGTGAAAAATGGACTGGAGACAGGTGTAGATTGTGGTGGTAGCATTTGTGTGTCACAAGGCAAGAAATGTGCAGATGGCTCAGGTTGTACAATGGGTTCAGATTGTACAAGTTTGGGCTGTAATGGCGGCGTTTGTGGAGGTTAGTTGTCACTTTCATTAACATATGACATATTCTCGATCATGAGTCGCTGTCACCCCCAATGATTGATTTCTACTGTCTGCCAGATAACTCGAAAGCGACAAGAAGAATGCAGACTTTTTTGTCTCGGTAGACAATTGAATGATAGAGAATTCAATGTTGGTGATCAATAATGTACTTTATTTCGGGTGTGCTGCTCTTTTAGTCGCTGGAACGATAAATAGTTTAATGGCTGCTTAATGGCAGAATTCCAGTTTCGCAGAAACTATTCTGTCGAAAAGATATGTATTCCATTTAAGACTTTTTAGTATTATGTTCCGACCGTTCCTGTAAATTGAGCGAAGCGGTGCTTCCGAATCATATTTGATAATTGAAAAAACGTATAGCTAAGGATGCCTCGACACAATGAAAGGTAATAGTTTGTATCGGATCGCGGCATCAAATCTGTCTTTCTTTTTATAAAGGACGAAAACAAAGTTCTGGTCTCATCGGAGTCGTCTGTGCTGCAGTTAGAGACATAATAGTTTAGTTTCTTTGTTTTTGTCGTCATCGTGGAGAGAGCTAAATCGTTCTTCGATGTGATGATGATATTAGGTAAAACGATGAAAAATCGTCTCCTATTGATCGATTTTTATTGATATGTTTGAGTTATTTAGTTTGGAGTGTGTTCGAGGTGAGTATAGCGCTGTAGGCCCGCGTGAAGCTATTGAGAATAGGGTCGCGTTGCGGTTGTGTATAAGAGACAGGGCAATCATTACACTATTGGTTAAGGAAGTGACTCGTGACAGGTGAACATTTGAGTGTGTCTATAGATTAATTATGAAAGAAAGATTGAACAACACAGTCGAGTTGGATGCGTAAGCAACCTAAGTTCAGACTAGTCGTAGATAAATAGCTCTACAATGTATTTATATTTTTTTCAAAGGGGTAGCGTATCTGTTATTTCCAATGATTCAATTGAATTACCGTAACTGAATAAATGACACTTTGAGGTTTTGTGTTAGACCAATCGATTGCGGACTCTCCATGCTTTTAAGGTTGAGGTGTCGACAATGTTATTGTTGACAAAAATTAGACGGAATGATTTCGAAGTGAAAACTTGAATAGTTGGGAACTAAATTCACTTTCAGTCTTTGACAGTTCTGTGACTTCTGAACTTTTCGGCTCCAAGGTTTTGTAGTATTCTGCATGAACTTGAGACTTGCTTCGCATTTCTATACCCTTTTCAGATCTGGTATCGTACTGAATGGATGAAGCGTGTAAGCCTAAAGAAATGCTTTTCCTCAGATAGTTGACATTTATTAAAATAGCTAGAGACTTACTCAATTGCATTACCGAACAAGGGAAATTCCAAGATCTCATCTAAATTTGATTCTAATGATTTCTTCACGCGTGCGAATTCACTATATCATTCCGAATCAATTGAAAAACAATCTGCTTGACACTGTTTACCTTCGATAAAATAAAATGAGTTGCCAAAACGGTAACTTCGATGGATGTCAGAACTTTAGCACGATAAATTAGTTACGCATACTTTAAATGTTCGCTTAATTTGCAAAACTACTATGTTATCAAAGCTATACGGAAAGCGGGGTCTAATAGAGAAAGATCTCTATACAAAAAAAAACATTGACAGAAAAGATCCACGAACATAACAAAAGGTACAGTATTGTGTTGAGTACTTGTGCGAAATAGTGTTGTGCTTACTATGTGTGTTCCTTACATGAATTCCGTGAATCCATTCAAATCCTAGAGTATAAACGCTAACAAAGAAATAATCATCCAATCTCGTTTGTAAGAAATAAAATGTTCAACATTATCTATTTTGCTTTTAGTCCCACCAACAGTAGTCATTCGTTCTCCACAAAGATTGAGGAATCCAGTGCTTACAAATCTTGTGCACTAGATCAATAAAATATACGGACAAATTCCGTGCTGTAATTATTCCAAAACTACTTCTTTCGCAATTATTGTATGACTTATGATGTGTTAGTTCGTAAGAAGAAAGTTCCTAGTATGTATTCTTATACGGTCAGATCATCCATCATGCGATGAAAGTCACATAATTGACGGTGACATTCATTTTGAAAGTATGCAATATAGTTGAATTCGACGCTTTTAATAGAACGTCACTAATGGCGCAACCTTTGAAAATGTTTACGAACTCTCATTACTTAGACTGAGAAACTATACAACTGAACACTACTTTGCTAAGTCTTCTTCATTCATCGAATGTTTTTAAAAGTTACCATGAGTAGAAAAGAAGTACACGGAGATAAACAATATATTCAAAGTGAATCTTCTTGATAACCATTCATTTGTTCAGTTTCTAGTCATCCCATTATACTAAAAATACACATAAAATAATAGTAACGAGGCTCACTCGAACAGATTTCTTGTGTGAATAGTTCATTTACTATACACTTTCCTATGATTTCCTCGACTATAAATGTTTGCTTTAAAGTCTTCGCTATAGCCAGCTGAAATAATTGTTAAAATGATTCATTGTCTATGGAGTCATTTATTGACTATTGGGATGATAACTCTAACCGTACGTTAGCGATATACCTGAATTTGATTTTGGCAAACACTCCATGGATATACTATGCGTTTGCTGTCCACCTCATTCATTGAGGATTTCTTGTTGGAAACGAATTGTATATTGAAATAAAACCATACTCAGATCTATTCATTTCACACATGATTTGATAAAGTTAATCAACATATGCCTTCTCTTCGATACGTATAACATAAGCAAACAAAGTCATTGTAGCACTCATACATTTACAATATTTGCTGGAGATCATTTGATAGTTAAAAACTACTTTTCTACACAAATGACAAATATGAATAGGATCCAATAACAGGTATCCATTTAGAATGTGTTCTTTGATCAGATTATAAGGAGCACATATTTTAGCTGACGGAAAATACCCGAATTTACCATTGCTGACGATTGTTTTCTTTCTATGTGCCGGATTACGTTCATCACCACTAACTATCATTACAAAGTGACAGATAAATTCGAATAGGATTTTTGTTGTACGGTTTCTATTATTATGTTATTTTGGCGTAATGATAACGGTAGCAGACTAAATCTAAACGACTTGATAAATTTGAACACGGTTATTATGGCAATTATGCTTTTTCTCCGTGTCTATAAGTCGTCCGATTCATTCATGAGCGACTACATAAACGATATACTCGAATAGATTACTTATAAGAATTGTTCATTTGTTACGTATACTAAAACTCATTACACGCTTACGAAGTTTTTGCTGTTATTGGCACACAAATACGGACAAACATATAGTTAAAACTAATCAAATATGATATAACGCTGGGTCAAGTAAATAAATATCAACGATTGCTTAAAAACAGGCGTTGTTGATGAATGCAGCGATGGTATAAATTGTACAGTTACCATATGACATTTTTTGGAGACCACAATCTGTTCAATTCTATTTTAAAGCAGAGTCATTTTTGGTAAAAGATCTTCTTAGGTTTAGTTACTTTCTATGTATAACATATCATTATATTATTAACGATAAATTAGTAGGTGTAATGATTAACATAATTGGTCCTAGTTTTCTTGAGTAATTTTCATTTATAATAACACTGTAAGCTATGAGCCTAGATATGAACAACAATTTTGAAATGATCAACATACTTGAGACGCAGTATTCTAGAATTATTTCATTTGTCACATACTCTTCGGTTATATGGTCGCAACTAAGCCTTCCCGGGTGCTAAACGAACTTTTCGAGCATATTTATTTTTGCTACACCATTCAAACTCATCAGGCTCTGATCAAACCTCTTTATGAATTATTCATGCAAGTTATGGAAACAATATATCCGATACGGACATCAAAAACTGTTATATACATATCTGATCTCAAATAGCTTCTTTTCTGCAACAGAAAACCTTTATTTCTCAAGCAATCACATACTCTAAACACATCTGAATAACAGCAATACACTTGTGATGTATTGTTGTGTGTTACCATGGAAAAGACATCTTTGTTTGAGCATCAACTATTTACTCTAAATAAATGTTGGTAACAACTATTCGTTTGTGATGTAATATCGTGTGATATCATGGGAAAATATTTTTGTTTAACCATCAGCTGTTTACTCTAAATAAATGTTGGTAACAACTATTCGCTTGTGATGTAATATCGTGTGATATCATGGAAAAAACATCTTTGTTTAACCATCAGCTGTTTACTCTTAACAAATCTTCCTAACAAGTATTCATTTGTAACGTGTTCTCGTAAGATATCATCGAAGGGATATCGTTCCTTTGGCATCAGCTGTATACTCCGAACAAGTCCTCCTAATATTTGTTCACTTGTGACATGCTGTCGTAAGATGCCATGGAAAATATCTTTTTGTTTTGACATGAGCTGTATACACCAAATAAATTTTTATAGTAATTAGTCACTGACGACGTGTTGTCGTATGGTATCATGGAAGAGAAATCTTTGTTTTGGCAGCAACTGAATATTCCAAAGAAATCTTATTAACAACTATTCATCTATGATATGTCGTCGTATGATATCATGTAAAAGATATTTTCGCTTTGACATCAACTGTATGCACGAAACAATTTTTTATAGTAATTGATCATTGATTACGTGCTGTCGTATGACATCGTGTAAAAGCTATCTTTTTCTTTGACATCAATTGTATATTCCAAACAAATCTTAGTAACATCTATTCATTTGTCATATCTTCTTGCGTCATGGAATTTAACATTAGCCCCTTTTTAACAAGTATAACATACTTTAACGTAATTTTGATCGGCGACATACAGGTAGCATATTATCATTGATTTGTAACTGAGACTGAAATATCTCCTTGCATGTGAAGAAAATATTTAATAGATATATTGCTGGCGTATATTCAATCGCCGTGTGTTTGTAAGAGATGTCATCTGTAGAAAATTTTTGTGCGAGTTGGACTATCTACTAGTCCGGAACCATGCTAAACGTTATTCATTTCTCACGCGTGATGTAGGCGTGTTTGAAAAGATCAGTCTTTCTTCTAAGGTGAACAATATATATGATACGAACAATTGGCTTAACACTAACATATCACATAAAACAAGAGTTAATGTCCATGATTTGTTGATGTAGCAAAAGGAAGGTTCTATTTGAATACAATCTTAGTGAAATCTGTTCGTCTGTGATATGTTGCCACAAGATATTGTGGAAAAGAAATCTTTGTTTTGACGTCAACTGTTTACTCCAAGCAAATCTTAGTAACAACTATTCGTCTGTGATGTGTTCTCGTGTAATATTATAGAAAAGATATTCTTGCTTTGACGTCAGCTGTTTACTCGAAACAAATCTTAGTAACAACTATTCGTCTGTGATGTGTTCTCGTGTAATATTATAGAAAAGATATTCTTGCTTTGACGTCAGCTGTTCATTCGAAACAAATTTTGTTAATTATTATTCACTTGTGATGTGTCCTGGTGTGATATCATGGAATATAAATCTTTGTTTAAGCATCAACTGTTTACTCCAAGCAAATCATGGTAACAACTATTCACCTGTGATATGCTGTCCCAAGATATCACGGGAAAGACTTTTTTGTTTTCACATGAACTTTATACGCCAAACAAACTTTTTTAATAGCTGTTCACTTGTGATATGTTGTCGTAACATACCATAGAGAAGATATTTTTGTTTTGACCTGAACTTTATACTCCAAACAAATCTTCTTAATAACTGTTCACTTGTGATGTATCGTCGTATGACATCATGGTAAAGAAATCTTTGCTTTACCGTCAGCTCTATACTCTAAACAAATCTTACTACTTACTATTCACTGATGATGTGATGACGTCAGATACCATAAAGAAGAAATTTTTGTCTTAAGATGAGCTGTACGCTTGAAATAAATCTTCCTAATAACTATTCACTTATGGTGTGTTGTTGTATGACATTATGGAAACGAAACCTTTGTTTTTTACATCAGCACTATATTTTAAATAGGTCTTGTTAACAACTATTCGCTGGTGATGCATTCTCATGCAGCTTCACGAATTAAAAGCCTTTACCAGAACATCGAGAGGAAAGACGAGAGGATGCTTTCTGTAAGTGGTTCAGTTTTTACGAAATGATTGTATAGGTTATAAAGGAAATATTGTGTTGCAGGATGAGTGATACACTAGAAAACATAGGTTGGAGTTGAATTCAGTTGAGATATGTGTCAAAGGTGGAAAAGTTCTGATAAAGTTTCAGAGCAATGAATTGATATATTTGACATGAATGTTATTAGCAGTTCACTGATAATGTAGGAAAATGGCATCTTCTGAATAAAGTAATATTTACTAACAATAGCGATATATTGAAATGATCATTTTCGGGATAGCATGGAACCTATGGAGCAAGTGATGGAAAAGAAAAATACCACTCCTGAAGATATAAATGGACTTAAAGAGACTTTGATAAGAATTGTTCATCATATGTATGGTGTCTTTAAGATGATTAGTGACGGCAATCCTATTGTAAGAGAGACTGAATACTTTTGAATAAGCGTCTATTCCAGCTCATTCGACCGTGCTGTGATAATAAAGGATGGTATTTCTTGTGAAAGCTTATTAGAAGATGTTGAAGGTAACGGAGTGAAGTCAAACATGGCGGTATTCTCCTATGTTGCGTTCGCCAGTCAACTTTATATAATGTTTCTTTACACGAAGCACCTGCGATGCTTGAACTCAGCATCTTGTTTTCTCACTGTTCACGTCTGACGCAAAGTTTGCGAACTCGATCAGTTACGGTGTTCTTGATCCAAGTTTCAACTATTTGTAAATGAATTTCTTTTGAAATAATTTATTAATAAAATCATCTTTAATGAATCTGATAGTTGGAAATATTTATTTTAAAGATAGAGAGACTTTGAACGATATCATTACTTGTATTTTATCGATCAGCTAACCAATTCTCGTTTTTCTTTGGAATTCATTATTTTCTGTCGCTAACAAAGTGAAAATTCTTTTTTAAATAAATGAAATGTGAGTTTCAATATTTCTTATTGGAGATGTGTATTTTTTTCGCACGAAGAAGAGCTGAATTATGAAAAACTTCCTAAATGTATTTTTGAATATAATTCCAGCGTTTCACACCATACTTCGACTCTGTTCATAGATTTCATGAAGTAAATTTGACTTCATTCTTCAAAAGCGGCCTTTGCACAATGAAGCTACTTAACTAGAATGGTATGCTACACAAATAGCAAATGTTTTGCACTGCATTGTCGGTGAGATTATCTGAAGTACTTTCAATGTTGGACTAATGTCAGTGAACAATCTAGCATGAGTCAATCGTGATCGATGCATGTCTCAATTGTACGATCGTAAATGCTACTTGTGTACGTAGTGAATAATTAGACGACGGCTAAGTTCGAAGCTCTTGTTAATATTAGTTTGACCAAATAAGTTTCAGTATATATCGTGCTTGAGAAATACTTTGTATTTGGCCAGTACAGAGTTCATTCGATATTCTTTCACGCTCTGGAATAAGCTAGAGCATGCAGCGTCTGTCGACGTATGGTTTGGAGTCCATTTTCTTCGTCATGTACCATCATCATTCTCGACCGGATATTCGAGAATAACACATTTCTAGCAATTCGACATCGGTATGGAAATCATTAGCTTTATGTGACATTTAGCTAGCTCTGCCAAACAGCCGATTCGAAGTCGGAACAGTATCATTAGCACACCCATGAAAGATACACGTAGAAAATAGAGTTTCAAGAAACATCTTGCCTGAGATAATGAACTTGCTGTTGATGAACTAGTTGCTTTGATTTGATGTGTTATAGCGTTTTCCGAGAAATTGGGAAATTCTAACTTAAGCCTATAATACCCAATATGAAAGTGCACAACAGCCGAAATGGTCCTAATGCTCATTAGGGACATTCCATAATGGGGCATAACAGGCGTAAACGGCATCGATACGCACCCTCACTGAGAGAGATCCCTTCAGTAGACAGAATCACATCTTTTCAGTGGCTCATACCCCAATTATGCCGCATTATGTCCATTATGCTCTATATGAGAATTAGAGCTGCTCAGACTGTTCAGTTTGGCCGATCAGTAGATTCAATCTCCGGGAAATCAGTTCGTACCCAAAACATATAGAATTTCCCGGTAAACGCTATAACACATCATATGATCTTGGTCGGCTTTTCAAATACTATTGCAGCCAATTTCACAAACTGACACTAACTCTTTCAGTAATAATTTGTATACGTTTCATGTACTTGGTTTAAATTATCCTCACTGTCAAGTTTTCCGGATGAAATTTGCTGATGAAAATAGTCTTTTGTCATACAACTGAATATCAATTTAAGTGAAATTTTGAATCTGACTTCGTGAGAACAAGGGCGAGGGCGGGTGTGAGTGTGATGGTGAGTGTATGATTCTGTTAAGAAATTCGCAAATTGGCAGAAATTCAGTTCCAACATATATGACATCGCAATTAGAGAAGATGCCGAAGTCGATTCCGAGACTCGAGCAGATTCCACAAGGTACAGTACTAAAGAATAGGATGTAGTTTCGTAGAAAAATTAAAGAAAATCATATGCCACTCTATTGCATACATCTTAAAAACAAATTTCGCTTCGTGTCAACTAATAAGGATAATTGATAATAATATTGAATCAATTGAACTTGCTTTTCATGGTCATATTTTGTAATCGATTGAGCACCTTTTGGATTACTCAAGCTTTTGCGAGCTTTTCGTCAAATTCCAGAACTGTTGTGAATCAAACCATCGTGAACGTCTTTTACTTATGCTCACAGTGACCATTCATGCAAAAGAAAAGAAAAAAAAGTTGCCAGAAAAATAAACTTATTGGGGTAGTATTATTTCTTGAACGACTTCATGTGGTCGTCTGTTTACTTTTGTTGAAGATTTGTTTCTTTTAAATCTGTTATTGCCACCCTTCTATTTTTCGGGTAAGATATTTTTGATAAATTAATGGAAGAATGATCATAACGAAGCAGTTGGACTGGCAGATCAGACATCGAAAATTACACAAGTAAGCACTTTTTGTACAAGAAAGAGCAGAGCAAACCATCAAACAGCCGCTTTGTCTACTTATTCATTTTAAACAACCTAGTGTCACTCTACTATATAAATACCGTTTCTTCCAAATGATAATTTGCTTCATCTGGCTCCACAATTATAAAACAATGACGTACATAGAAGAAAAGATAACTATATCTTTTGTGTTTGAAAAGAAAGAAGCAGACGTGTTTATAATGACACAGATGGGATCATATTTTTACTTCGTCAATAGAACCTTTTGTGAGTGTTACAGAAGGCTCGAAATAGGACGCCATTAGTTCTGAGCGATGGCATAATGTATTATTGCCTACATTTATATAAAACGTTGCTTAACTAGTTTATACCAGAGATAATATTTTTTACAAATAGATTGTTATGCTTAATTTGACTATAGTATAATCATCAGTCATAATTGCGTTCATATTTGTAGTCAGTCAAAATCATTCCGATAACAACAGTTCTGTTTGTAGCATAGCTTAGATCGAAAACCTTTCTACTTCATCTACAATGATTGTATTATAATTACACAACCAGTTATTCGTAGCGACGATGTTATTCTGTCCACTTTCTTTGGTTTTCTCCTTATACTGTCTGTATCTTTCTCTTATACATTTGCTCTCTTTTTTCCTTCCGTGAATAAGTCATTAGACGTTTTTGTGTGTAAAAGATGCTATTCTAGTGTAGGGTAGATAAGGGAAAGCGCAGTGTCACCAGTGCCAACACTTCTTTCATAAAAATCGCCAGAATCGTACCTTCTATATGAAAACCTTTAAGGTTTCATCTACAAATTCTATTCAACGTACGACAAATTGAGAGAAAGCAAGTACGAAGCGAAAAGGATGTCCTATAGCATATCTTCTACGTGGAACTTTTTCTCTGTCGAATCAATTGCAGATAAATATTGGTTCCTTATATTTTAATTTTTTTTAAGATAAAACAAGATCTAATGGCAGATTCACCAAATTCGAAACGACAGCGTATCGGTAGACTAATCTCTTCGCATTATATTGAAAACTTTTCAGAAACTAACATTTTAGTCTCCACGGAAGATGAGCGTACAGCTTCACAACTAATACATTGTCTTGAAGAGCAGGACGAGTTATATGAATTGCATACGCATCTGTTAGGTATGGGCAATGCTTCCTTCTGGATCCACAGCATCTTAACAGATCAAGCCAAACTACCTCCCCAAACTGACTTTTTAAGTAACGACCGAATAAGAAAACATTTGGGACCATTAGTGTGGAATAAGCAAGTACACAAATTTATTGATCAATCGGAAACAAAACAATTCTTTGACGAACTCTGCACTGGAGAAAAGTTAAATGATGTCTTCAGTTCATACCGCTATAAAATGTTTAAACATTTGCAATCCGAAGATTTCTTCAAAAATCTAAAGCGTCACGACCTGACGTTTAAAGACCATTTTTCCTATGATATAATTTTTTCAATAGAAAAGCTCTGTTATGCGCTCGAATTAAGTCCAACACAATCAAAAGATACAATTCAGGCAATGATTGAAGAAAAATTAGGAGTGTACACAAGAAACGATTGGCAAGAGCGTAAATTCTTTAAATACTGGATTATATTTAATGCACGAGATCAGACATTTGAAGTGGTTTACGGTATGAGAGCAGAAGATCTCCGACTGCTTATTGGTGGGGCAAAACCAATTAATCAATTAACTGACCCTGCACAACGCGATGCACGTGCACATATTATAAATGCATTTTCAATGATGAATGCAGATGGTAGTGAGCCACGTTCAATAGATTTCCATTCATTTCGCGGTTCATTCACGCCACAATTTTATCCACGACGATTTGCTTTGAAAGATTCAATATATTCCCAAAGACTCGACTTTTTAGCGCTTCTGTTACGCAATGCTCTTCACCGGTTCTCAACATGTTTACCGCCAATTAAATATTGCGAATTTTCTGTTGGCTGCGGTGATTTAAGTCGCGCATGGGTGCTTGACGTTTTATCTACATTTTGCAAAAGCAAATCCCTTGCAGGCACATTTAAAACATTAGTGAATAATGGCTGTTTTCCTTGGCTTAAAACATATTGTGTTAATCAAGATATCGACTATCGGTTTTTGGCAGGATTCAATCGCACAATATCTAAAGTCAGTAAAGGCTATTCCACAGATGACGCACTTACGTTTTTATTGGAACTTCCACACTGTGCGATACATCGCATGCTCCGAGAATTTTACAACAGCGATAATAGACGACCTACTACATTGTTCACTGAACATGTGCAGCAACTCGAACGATTAAAGAAGAAAGCATATGAAGATCGAAACTTTTTTTATTGGGTAGTAGGATTTGATCTATTTGGTGACGAATTGGGATATCCTTATTGTCCTTTTGTCGCATATGAGTTTTTAGATTTTTTTCAAGAGGCGAGGAAACATAATGCTAACTTCGGTGTACGTATTCATTGCGCTGAAAACGTACCATTTATTCGTCCAGAGTTACCTGGATACCGTCTCTTTGTTGCACATATGTATATCGTCTATCGCTGTCTCGATTTTCTGAAACAAAAGTTAGGGCATAGTATTCGAGTAGGTCACGGTATCGCTTTTGATATACTACTTTCTATTAAGAACTATACATATCGAAAATCTAGTGTACTCGTAGCGCAAATGCAAAATGCTCGAAGATTGCTATCATCGATTCCATTTGAAGTAAACATAACTAGTAACTTTTATCTTCTCGGCGATGCTATTAGAAATACGACAAATTCGAAGCCCCTCCACGTCTTGAAACAATTCGATATTCCAATCGTTTTATCAACAGACGACGATGGAATATGGCCCATTGATCGGTGTCCTCTTGGACACCAAGGTCATCATTCCCTAGCTGCTGAGTATTGTCGTGCCATTACAACTAGTTTTATTACTGAAGAAAACCAATTAAAAATCATGACGCAGGGAGCTAAAAGGTTCTGCTTTAAAGACAAAAAAGAATTGGCTCAATCTGTAGCTAAATATTCTCAAAATAACGAAAATAAGTCTTTTCCTACAGAGGTCGTCTTACATCCCGATGTTTTCCGTACACTTCTTCCGAGAGCACAAAATAAAAAGGGGCAAATTTTATCTAATTGCAAATGTATCAAATATTACGAGAATATTTATGGCACGGAAACAGTTGACAGCAACAAGTATAATCGGAATGGTTGGAAAGAACACTGTGGGCTTATTGCTCCCGTAGCTGTAGCCTGCTTCTATCTGACGCGTTTACTACCTTTTAAGCAGTTTAAGAAAGAATGTGACGTTTTATTTAAGGACCGTTGTAATGTCGAAGAAATATTTAAGGTGTGTGAATATGTGTATTCATACTTAATGAGTGATGCACCTGGTCAAGCTGTACGAATGCAAGTGCAGGTGAATAACAGGGATTATTTATTCTTTTCTGAACACTCAAATAATTTTAAAGAGTCACCTGATTTTTTTTTAAATATTATAGAGAAATTTCTCACAAGCTGCACTGAAAAGGCGGTAGTGTTCGGATTTCTTCCATGTATTCATTTGAGTAATCCACAAATAAGGTTAAATGTAGAAAATATAGATAAAAAACTTGAGAATAAGAATGTCAAAGTCTGTATTCATACGAACGGAAACAAAGATACAATTCCACCAGATTACACGAGCGAAAGAATATACATCAATGATAAACCTAGTAGACGCACAGATCCAGATGAAAAGTTAGTTGAATGTATGATCTACGCTGTTTGTCCTCACAGCAGTGCCGCTACTAGTGCATTGATTTTCCTTGCCAAACACATCAATGACTCTATTGTATTTAGTCCGCAACATACACTACTGCGCACATTAATTGTTCCTTTTCTACCATTACGATACGGTTATTCGGCCGACGACGATGAGACAAATATAAAAACAGCATTTTTAGATAAGTATGCGCTGTCGAGCACGAAGTTGAAAAGTAAAATTGTTGTAAAAAAGAAAAGAATTTGTAAAGTTTTATTTGATTCTTCACTCAATTTTTTATATTCTGAAGTTAAATATGCTGAACAGATAGACATAAAAGATCTTGCTGAAAAAGTACATGTAGAGGAAGAAACATTCGTTGAAATTCTACGATTGTTGTGTAAATCGATCGATGAGTTTGATTTATGGCCCAGATCTTTTGTCATAATAGAGAAAACGAGTGACTATGAATCATACCTAAAAATCGTTAACGAAAACCGAAACAAAGTTCCAGTTCCCATTATCGAAATCGAAAATAATATGTTGCTTATCTGCAATAGCGCAGATATATACGAAACGAGTTCACCAAAAAGAAAATCTGCATATCTGTGGTCTTTAGCTGCATGTTACAATCCTCCACTGAATCCAGGGAGGAGTCCATATGAGTATCCGCTCAAGAAATGGGTAGAATCAATTGTACGAATTGAAATAGAAACTCTGAATAAAAAATTCGGACCCCATACTTGGGAGGAGTTTTTATATAAAGTTTTAATGAGCGCTAGAAAGTACGCCTGGTTCTGGTATACAGTCAACAGTTGGTGTGATGTGATTTGTTATGCGTTTCAGAATGTCACTGATAAAAAGAGACTCGCTGCTTTTAAAAAGTTTTTGAATGAAAAGAATCGTATTGACAAATTCAAAACATTAGTAAATAATACTGATCGCTACAGATTAGGAAATCGATGGCAGAAAGATATTATAAATAGTCATGAGGCAAATAAGTACTTAAGAAAACTACTTGAGTAAAACTGTCTTGAACGTATAAGAACTTTTTTGTGTCACTATTCGTTAGTACTTGTGCGGATTCAATTCTATTGGTTTTTCTCTTCATTTGCTAAACAAAAGAAACTGTTCAATAGATTCTTTGTAGATCGGAATTTGGAATCAACCTGCTTTATTTGTGTAGTTTCCGTTTGTTCACCTTCTTCCTTTACTTGCCTATGTATTTGTTTGTTTTTTCTTCTTTAAATACACGGTGTGTTGAATATTTTCTTTACAAATACATTTCTCATTCAGAGCAGATGGTGAGAATGCATATAAAAGGTATAATATATTGATCACAATACTGAAGGAAATGAAAGATAGATTATGATGCGTGTCTGAAGGTGAGAACAAAGCTTAGGATGAAGAGGTTGTTATATGTAAATGATATGACGCATTGATTGAAGGTAGAGTCTGAGGCTGAAGATGAATCATATAGGAAGAAGAAATGAATCTTGGTAGTTCTCTTGCAATAAAGAGACATAATCGAAATTGTCACCTCACATTATGCACGTCGCAAGGGATAGGAGCTGTGAATGGTGAAGGATTAAAGGCACTGCTGTCCATCTTTTCAACAGACGACGGTCAATACGGATATTTCTTAAATGCTCACTGTATATTCCACTAGTTTGTAATGAAATAAATATTGAAGAGTTTAATCCATACCAAAATCGATGATCATGATCGCAAGAGAAAAAGCTGTGAACATAAGTATATCCAGATATATTGTTATTTGTTCAGAAATAGCGTTAATGGTGAATTAGTTGTTGAAGACACTTCACAATAAAAATTGCCTATTCCTATCTATTAGTAGAACTATTGAACTTTCTAGACGCCTCTTATATGTGCGTTTGAAATTTAATATTTGTTATAAGTTAAAGAGAGGCTATCAAGTTCTTCCGGTGAAATAAAATCTCATTGACCAGACATATATTCCACTAATAATCGTGATACTTTTCTTCTTTGCAACTACGCAAATAGAACGTTTGATTATATTCGAAATTATCAAAAACTGATCGCCAAATCAATAACAAATTTCTATCCTAACCTCTTTGAATAACAATGATCATGACTGATCACCAAAGTTTCAGAAACATTAAAAAACTGTTTTGTTGCATTATACGATGAGTACATTGACATTTGTTTTCTCTCTCTATTGCGATGAAAACAATTTCATTTTTTCACTAATGAAAAAATAATCTTCAATTTATATTAGCCTACTATGGGTGTTTTGTCAGATGGCAATATATAGTATAAAAACTGAGTGTATTCATATACTGTGATTAAATTTCGAATCAATACGAAAATGACTCGCCTCAATATTGTTTTCATCGTATGTGCTGCAACGATCGTTACATTCGCTGCCGGCGCTCCGTCTGAGCCAAATGCAATTACGTGTATGATTTATTGTCCATATGGTTTCCGTGTTAATGCCGATGGACAATCCATGTGTGCGTGTAAGAAAAGTCCCTGTGATGGAGAAGAAGCTCCACTCAATGGTTACTTTTGTGGGCGTGGTGTTAATCGTCGTCAATGCCCATCAACGCATCAATGTAAGGTAGCACCAAACGATGCTTACGCTGTCTGCTGTCCTCGTGCTCAACAAACATCTAAACTTAGTATATCACCAGTTAAAAAGGGTTCTTGTCCAGTCCCGCCATCAGATATGATGGGCATTTGCATTGCACGATGTACCAATGATAGTGATTGCCCTGGTGCTCAAAAATGCTGTGGTGGATGTCCACGTCAATGCACGAAACCCGTCTTGGCATAACATGAAATTTATTTAAAAAAATAATAAAAACCTCTGCATAAGATACGATAATATATAAAACTAAGCTGTATTCACCTGTAGTATTGCTTAAGTAATTGTGGATAGATGTGTTTCGATAAAAAGTAAAATATTCATAGATCGCTCCTGGATGGACTCGAACCAACAATCCTCCGGTTAGGAACCGGTTGCGTTAACCATTGCGCCACAAGAGCAGATAAAGAACAGCGCGAAAATAATTTTATTTTTGCTACAGTCACTGAATAAAATCAGAGTATGTGAAGACGATTGTAATGCAAATGAAAGATAAACAGAACCTATGCAAAAGCTCAACCGCAGGATATTCGTATGTCGATCAATGGTATGAGAACGTTTCAACAATCAGAAGAATGTGAGAATTACGTTAAACTCTTGATCGATGATCGGTATAGTGTAATGATTGCTGGCCAACAACAATTCGAGCTGATGATTAACCATGTCAAACCTCTTGTTCATGTTTTGATTATCTATATTTGTCCGAATATTCAAAGGTGATTGACCATCATTGCGAAACTCACTATAAAGTTTTCATATGTATCGACACATTTTACGTGAGAATCATCGTTTCGCTCGAAGAATTAGTTGGTCAATTAGAAACAAGCTTCAGACGACGTCGAAAAAGATTCGAGGAAACGCTAGCAATGAGTATTTATAATCCAAATCTTAGTGGAGATGTCATGCATTCTCAACTATTCATTGATCTTCTTTCTTGCATGGGATCTAAATCGACAGACAAGGAGGAACTTATTATGAAATCCAAAAACAAAAAATATGAAAATAATGAATCAGCATAAAAGATGGCCAACGAAGATGCTATGAAATCATATACGCTAAAGAAGGATTTCTATATTGTATACCGAATCGAGCTCTTTTTCTTTCGATTTCTCATTATTGTTTTACATAACAGTCAGTCTGTCCGACCGTCAACGGTTTTCCGTTATCAAATGATGTCGCCCGATGAATTGAAGGTACTTCGCCAGTCGACTGGCAACTTGATCTCTATGTAGTCGTTTCATAAACAACATTTCACCGATGGAATCAAATGTTTCCAAACTATTTGCGTATATTCAAGCAGAGAACGATTTTTCCAAGGAAGCGGAGATTCTATTGTTAAGATGTCGGTCAAACACCTGCTTATACATGTTGGTTCTCTCTCATGACGTCATACGGATCTTTCCCAATCCTTTCTCTGACAGCAGTTTTCGAACATATATATATGTATCGATTTTTCATCTAATAAACAGAGTTCGATACACATCGAGAGAAGAAATCTACATTCAGCGACTTCTGAGCAGTTCAGACGGCGGCGATACTCTTGTAAAAGGTTGTTATGTCGAACTAGAACATTTAGCTTGTATGACAGGTCAAGTCGTTGAAAGTCTTGATTCTGACAAAACAGCTTTTGATATTTACAAAAAGCTTTATGGAGACCGCTACATGAGTATAGCTACAGTTTTTGTTCAACAAGCACGACTCAAAGATGCTGTCAGGTTCGTTGGTAAGGCTCCTACAATGATGCAACAGTGCTGCCACCTGCTCATCCGATCATGGTTACGTCGAGAAAGTGTTGATAAACAATTATTGTTCTAGCAAAATAAAAAATGTGAAGACAATCAGTGCTATTATCTAATGAATCTAAATAAATTTCGTTCTTTTATATTACATCCACTCAATTACCCTAAAAGTGTGAATGCGAATGTATCAGTCGACTTTTATTCTCTCTTACAAAGGCCATCTGTCTGTTCTCATCATGATAAATCAATTAGTTTTATCACTTACGCAAAGAAAAAAACAAAGCACATCGTCATACTATATGCCAAAGTACACTATCTTCTATAACAAGCAATGTTTTGGTGCATCTAGTAAAGTGTGATTATGTCATTTGTCCTAGAGTATATAAAGCAAGCTCTAAAAATATTTTTTCATTCTCTAGAGAGAGTGCACTTCGTCCCATTCACATTCATGTCTCGCATAACTTTCTTATTGTACGTGCTGTTCAACGTTTCGTTGGCAATGACTAGTGTTCCATCAAACGTTTGCTATCAGGATCTTGGATGCTACATACCNAGATCGCTCCTGGATGGACTCGAACCAACAATCCTCCGGTTAGGAACCGGTTGCGTTAACCATTGCGCCACAAGAGCAGATAAAGAACAGCGCGAAAATAATTTTATTTTTGCTACAGTCACTGAATAAAATCAGAGTATGTGAAGACGGTTATAATGCAAATGAAAGATAAACAGAACTTTGAATGATAGACGATCTGCGCACTTTCACAGTTAAGATGATAGAACATTCAAATCTTGAAACTTTGTCGATTGTATGGTTAGATAGTTCACACGATGCAACTAAAACCTATGCAAAAGCTCAACCGCTGGATGTTCGTATGCCGATCAATGATCGGCTTATTGTAGTAATTGCTGGCCAACAACAATTCGAGTCGATTAATCGTGTCAAATCTCTTGTTCATGTTTTGATTATCTATATTTGTCCGAATATTCAAAGATGATTGTCCATCATTGCGAAACTCACTATAAAGTTTTCGTATGTATGAACACATTTTAGGTGAGAATCATCGTTTCTCTCGAAGAATTAGCTGTTCAACTATTCATTGATCTTCTTCCTTGCATAGGATCTAAACCGACAGACAAGGAGGAACTCATTATGAAATGCAAAAACAAAAATACGAAAATAATGAATCAGCATAAAAGATGACCGACAAATTTGCCACGACTCGCGTGAAAGAAGATGCTATGAAATCACACACTAAAGAAGGATTTCTATATTGTATACTGAATCGAGCTCTTTATCTTTCGATTTCTCGTTATTGATTTTCAAAGCAGTTTGTCTGTTCCGACCATCGATGGTTTTCCGTTATCAAATGACGTCGCCCAATACATTGAAGGTACTTGATCAGTCGACTGGCAGCTTAATCTCTATGTAGTCGTTTCTATAGATAACACTTCACCGAGAGAGGTAAATGTTTCAAAGCTACTTGCGTATATTCTATCAGAGAACGATTTTTCCAAGGAAGCGGAGAGTCCATTCATGCTTGAAAGTATCTTTTACCTGAAAGGTATCCGTGAAGATGCGCCTATCTGACAGATCAAGTTGTTGACAGTCTTGATTCCGACAGAACAGTTTTTGTTGAACAAGAACGACTCAAAGATACTGCCTGGTTCGCTGGTGCGATTCTTGTAATGATGTAACAGTATTGCCATCTGCTCATCCAATCATGGTCACATCGAGAAAGTGTTGATAAATAATTATTGTTCTAGCAAAATAAAAAACGTGAAGACAATCAGTGCTATTATCTAATGAATCTAAATAAATTTCGTTCTTTCCTATTACATTCACTCAATTACCCTAAAAGTGTAAATGCGAATGTATCAGTCGACTTTTCTTCTCTCTTACAAAGGCCATCTGTCTGTTCTCATCATGATAAATCAATTAGTTTTATCATTTACGCAAAGAAAAAAACAAAGCGCATCGTCATACTATATACCAAAGTACACTATCTTCTATAACGAGCCATGTTCTGGTGCATCTAGTAAAGTATGGTTATGTCATTTGTCCTAGAGTATATAAAGCAAGCTCTAAAAATATTTTTTCATTCTCTAGAGAGAGTGCACTTCGTCCCATTCACATTCATGTCTCGCATAACTTTCTTATTGTACGTGCTGTTCAACGTTTCGTTGGCAACGACTACTGTTCCATCAAACGTTTGCTATCAGGATCTTGGATGCTACATACCGCGACCTGGTTTTACACTGTTACCTCAATCTCCTGAGAAGATCAATACGAAATTCTCTCTCTTCAAAAGGTAAATAGCGTGCTTGATCGATGAAGAGAGGATAGTCATCAGTTGCTTTTCCTTTCCAACGACTTAGAAAGCAACCTATTCAAGCAGAAATAATCTCTTCTTCAAATTTGGGTTCGTTCGACCGTACGAAACCGATCAAATTGATTATTCATGGTTTTACCGATCAATCATCGAGTGCTTGGGTGGTTAACATGACGCAAGAGCTGTTGAAACAGGTTAGTAGCCATTTTCTAATCAATAGCTAAATACACTTTTCAATAATTGGATTTTGTAGGAAGATATGAATGTCATTACTGTTGATTGGTCTGGTGGCAATCAATTTCCCTATGGCCAGGCCGTGGCCAACACCGTCATTGTTGCAGCTGTTATTCGACAACTTCTTCAAGCGATGGTCAATGCCGGTGCAAAACCGCAACAAATGCATTTAATTGGTCATAGTTTGGGTGCGCATGTATCAAGTTATGTAGGACGAGATTTTCACAATTTAGGAAGAATATCTGGCTTAGGTATTGATACATGCGAGAAAGTTCAAAGCATTTATACGCTTTTTCCTAAGTATAGATCCTGCCGGACCGGAATTCTATAATTCTCTCATTTCTGATCGCCTTGATCCATCCGATGCTATATTTGTGGATGTCATTCATACTGACGGTGCACCACGGGTTCAGTCTGGTTTCGGTCATTTAGATGCATTAGGACATGTTGATTTCTATCCTAACGGTGGTTCCGCCCAGCCAAGTGAGTCTCTCTAAATTCAGTGATAAATATCACGTTTTCCTTTTTCTCCAATCAAGCTTGTGGTAGCAATACCGGAGATGTTCTTCTCCAATCAGCATGGAACTTAATCAGTACTTTCAATATAGGAAGTGAGTCTAATCTTATCTCTGGTGTTTTCATGTGAACTGCCGATTTCTGGAGTTTAGATGCTGCTAGCTCAATGGCTTGCAATCATATGTCAGCAGTATACTATTATACTGATTCGATTAATTCACATTCGCCAGCTTTTGCTTATCCTTGTTCGGATTATAAAAGTTTTGAACGAGGCCTTTGCACATCTTGTGGTTCGCAGTTTGATCAATGTCAACGTGCCGGTTACCACGCTTCATCGTTGAAAACACTTGGTAAACTGTATCTTATGACTTTGAACGGAGTCAAACCGCCACATTTTGGTCTGTCATACTGTGCCAACAGAAAGATGATGAACGATTTAAGTTGAATTTTAGGTTTTCAATTCAAAGTAACACTTGAATCAAATATGAACGACAGTAAACAACAAACACGCGGTATCATAAAAATCAAATTCGACGAACAAGAAGAGGAGACATCGCTATTTGAGTATGAGAGTGTACATACGTTCTTTTATATGAACCTATATCTGGTCTATTTAGTGAAAAAATACTATTCAAAAGTAGTTCCGTCAATTCAAAAACGATTCTCATTGCTCGTCAACCTGCATCACTGAAAGAGATTACCATTTCGTTCAAAAAAAGCCTAAGTTCAAATTTCGGTCTTGGTCTCTCTAATCAATGGAACTTTCGTTCGGTCAGCATTCTTGATATGCAATCTCATCTAAGGCAAGTCGTCTACTGACGAATCGCGTCGTAGTATTTAGTTGTTTTTCTTTGTTTAGTTACACATTTTGTCCAACAACAAATTCAGCGACGATCAAGAGCGGTTCAAAATTGATCTATAAATTGTGTTGAATCCTCATAGTGTGTCGAAGATCGGTTGACATTGATTTTTCTATACAGAATTATTAAGTATAACAATAAACAGTTGAAAAGAAAAACCTGGCCAAAACGAAATCTGTCACCAGTTATTATAAATAAAAAAGAATAATACGACGTGACATACAGCGACATCTGGTTGTTCTGAAGAAAAATTCTGGGAAGATGCAATGTATGAAAAGAATCTATCATTTTCAAATATCTTTTCAAATTAGATAAGTAAAGCTCATTAATGTAACCAACCGTGTATCGTCTACCATGGTAACGCTATCATATCTAGTCTTTTTGTTGGAAAAAATTGCCATTAATCCTTAAAAGTGCGTCGAACGCATATAGTTATTTTGATATTATGTAACAAACGTAATTTCAGGATGAGGTTGATTCTGAATCACGAAGAGATGCCCATGCTCTCTCTCACATTATCAATAATGCCTCTTTGTTCCCGACAGTGACACTCACGCCTCTCCCAGCAGATTGTCTATCTCGTTTCAAAAGACACTTTTAAAATCTATTTTAGACTAAAATATGGCAAGCTCAACAACTGCGGAGAAAAAGTCCCGCTACAGTGATATCGTTGATGAACCTGTGCATAATCTTCTCGCACCCATAAAAGGTTACCAAGATAAACCACTCGTTTCACTTTCAGACGCGATTGATCCAGTTGCTGGTTTCTTCAATGAAATCGAAGACAATGCTTTAGTTGCTTTACATAATTGTCAAAATCCAGCTGATGGTCTGACTCAACAAGAATCAGCTTCCATACATCTTTACACAATGGAGTTCGATGGTGGACCAAGTTTATATCGGTTATTCACGGCAAATGCGAGTGTGGCGTGGTATCCGTGATGTCAATCTATCTTCAAAGTATAAGATTGGCACGAAGTTTGCTTGGTGGGGAGTAAGTTCCTGTACTAGTGATATGAAACTGCTCGAGTCCGAAAAATTCTTGGGTAAGACCGGACAGCGAACTCTATTTTCAATTGAATGTATCAATGGAAGACGTATTGTGGCACATTCGTATTTCAAAAACACCGAACAGGAAATTGTTTTAATGCCTGGTTCATATTTTGAAGTGTTAGGTCAATTGAATCCAGCACCAGGTCTTCATATTATTGAATTAAAAGAAATTATACCACCGATGACGCTGATCAAACCGCCATTTTCTAAACCAAACGTAGCATCGAGCTGTTCACATATGCCAGCAGCAGAAGCCTCTACAATATCAAAGAAAAAACCATTACTAGAATCGGGTACAGAAATTCTGTTCGTTTTCTCTTGTATACTGGATTGTATTAGCTTAACTTGACAGGTTGGAAGTCACATGTCTAATAGGAGTCACATTGAAAAACTAAATACAGGGCTTTTAAGAGGCAAGAACGACTAGTCGGCTGCATATGGTCTCTCTTTTACCATATTTGCCGACGTTTTCATTATAATAATTTAAGTATCTCATAATTCATTTTAGGAGTGTATACCGAACTACTCTCAAGTAACAACGAAGATTTCAAAACTGTCAGTCGAATGTTCTTAGATGGTTGGCCAGGTGAATTGAAACGTGACATCAAAGTCAAAGCAATTTATCAAATTCATAACGATATACTAGAATCACGTTTTCAACAATTTGTTCATTCCAATCCCAAATTTTCAACAGGAAATTCTATAGGATGGCACGGTACGTCGTCTAATTGCCAGAATGGTTCGTGCTCATCTTCGGAGTGTCATCTATGTCAAATTATTCGAAAGGGATTTAAACAGCAGTTTGCACGCCGTAATACGATTTCATACAAATGCTGGGGACCAGCTACCTATTTTTCGAACCAAAGTTTTGTTTGCCATACTTATAACGGTGGTTCAGAATGTGATACCAAAAGGCGCTGCACAATAATGACAAAAATCAATTCTGGACACGCGCTAGACTATTGGAGGATCGCAGAACATTGCACTCCTGACCCCGCAAATTGCATTCCTGCTTTGATAAAAAAATATAAATACGATAGCGTGGCTTTAACCCCAAATTACTATATAACGAGCTAGCTGCATTACCGATATATATAGTTGTGTACTCTGTTCGAAAAACCTTACAAGTAAGACGCTCTGCAGGTGAGTATTGCAGCTTTCATCGGGAACACCATACGGTGAATGCTCATTGTGATGGTCATCAATGTCAAAGCTTGGAATGTGTCGATAAAATATGTCTAGATCACAATCACTTCACACAATACGATCATATAGATCCCAATACTTATGTTACGCACGAGTCATGCTACAGAGAGATCTTGGATGAATTGGGCTCAACTGTTTATCCATAAAATTTTGAACTTTTTGAGAAAAATGCGCAAGAAGAACTATAGCTATTTTTATCAGAAGGGCGTAAGAGTGAAAATCGATATAGATGTATCTTCCACTCATACTCTTATTCTCAGAATAATACTACAGCAAACAAATAATTGTTTTTTATTATAAGGTTGATTCATATTTTGATAACATATCTTTACCACTTTTTTATATTTGATGGATGATGATTGAAAAGAACAATAAATAATAAGCTGTTCTGATTCGTATTTCGATAAAAGTATTCAGTATTAATGAGACACGATGTGCATATTGATTCTCGCAATAATTAGTTTCTAAAATTTGTCTACTAACAATGCTAGGCTTCGACTGCCTGAACATCGTAGGTTAAACGGCTGTGTAAGTCTGGGCACCGATTTAGTGTCCACATTTTAAAAATATTTGAATTCAGATTTGTATTTATTAACGACACAAAAAGAAAATACTTCGATTAGTGTAAGTGATCAAAAAATCGTTCTGATTTCTCATGTACAGTAAATCTACATTTCAATTTTCCGTTCATCATAAAGTTATTCTTATAATTGCGATTACATCTGATTCATTTCGTTCTGTCGATGTATTTCTTTCTGTATGACACTCTATCCTTGCATGTATGTACATATGTAATTTACGTGTACAAAAGACACAGAGTGATTATGCCATCCATGCGGTTAAGGCAAATTGAAATCTTGTATTGACTGTTTTACACCGTATATACCGTCTCAATTTGACTGTATTTGAATAAATGCAACAAAAAGAAAATAAGGAAACGGACTAATAGAACATCAAGGGGATAATTCAAGCGAAAAATGGTTAGCTTTCAAGCTGGGTGACTTTTGGAATTACGAAGATCACGGTAGGTTTCTTTACAAAATAAATAGTTACGAGCCATTAGTAAAGGTAAAGTACCAGCTGTGATTAAAATATATGATATACAAAACACAACATAAACTTGAATGTTAACTATACGAATGATTGTGGGCAACTTGCAAAGCATCAATCTTGACATGGTGAGTGACAGATATTGAATCAGCACTGCAATTCCACTTATGTAACATGGAGTTGTCTATTTGTTTGAGCTGTCGAGTGAACTTCTCTTTTCCTTGCCACAAAATTGAACAGTTCATGGCGAAATTCGCTGAACGTTGCTAAGTAGATCGGAAAGTCCAGCAAAGGATATATGTACCCAATCGTGTCAAACGTATTTAAGATGCGCTGACCCCAAATACTTCCACCAAGCTGATCAAAGAAAAAGCTGTAGATCATTTTCGATGGTACACTTGTTACGAGGAACAGAAAAGCTGTAATGATAAGCGTAATGGATATAGATCGATGTCGAATACGTGAATTTTGTACCAAAGTTGTATTTCGTAGTTGAATGAGATGGTATATTGAAATACTGTTGAATGACATCATAAGCAAGAAAGGGAGACAAATACCGATGGCCATATTCACTCGGCTGTATGTAGGATAGACACGAAAAAGAGTTGAATCTATGACGATTTGACCGCTAGTATCACGATAGCATACAAATATTAAAAAGTGCAAATTAAAGAGAATGAAGAATACAATGGTGCCAGCGATAATGGTGAGTATGTTTCTTGATCGATTGAACCACGTATTGGGTTGCATTCGACTTAGAGCTAAGTATCGATCAAGACAAATGAATACACGTATCCATGCCGATGCTTGCATTAAAACAGTATTAAAAAATATGGAGAATTTGCAAGATGCGATTGTATAAGAATAAGCCAGAGTAAACCCGTGAATGATCTGTAAATAGTTGTCTAAATTCCACCCATACACACTTAGCAAATCCATTACCATGATTAGACGCATATAATGCGTTACTGGACGTGTTTTTGTGTCGCGGAACGTTCGTCGACATAATACGGCGAATCCTAATACATTAAATAATGTACCGAAAATTACTATAAATAGGCTGCAATAACCATAAAAAGTTATATCACTGATATAATCATTTGAAGGTAAGATAGTTGTAGTGTTTATATAAGTGGTAACGTTGTTATAACTAATATCCACCATCGTGCTCAAGAAAAATGTCAGATAATCTAGAAAAACAATCCATAACATTCTGTCATGTAGAACAATTATTTCTTTTCACTTTATATATATTCGTAACTCCCCTTGTTACTGGAAATGCTGAGCAGGTAAGAACATATAAAGTTTCTCATAGATGGTGGTATTCTGCGACTAATGACAAAATATCAGTTTCTAATTTATCCTTCAGAAAAAATCCGAAAAATAACCGTCAGTAACAACATTCACGCAAGAATGAGAAGAGAAGAACTGCGCAATTTATAATATTATCATCGTTTAATGTAGCGTGCTGAAGTATTATGAAATGAGCATGTAATCTGACGAATATGTAGATCAAAGATTCTGAGATAAAACCCCACTTCATTTCTCAATTAATTGCAAGCGCTAATGGGAATTCTAATATCTAAAAGTCGAATCGAAATTTTCCACATTTACATAACTACTAATTAGATCTGAAAATATGAGTCGATCTTTGAATAATCTATGGACAAGACCTGAATGAGCTTTCAAGTCAAGATAGTGCCCAACATATGCCGAGAGAAAAAGTGAACATTACTCTACAACATTGGTCATTATTTATAGCTTTCAGTCAATCACGCAATAATCATAGGAATAGGGTAAGAGACAAGATAACATTTTTCATGTCCCTTGATTCTCAGACTTATTAGTACGGTCAGTTGTGTCGTGAAGATCGCCATACGTGTCTCAATTATCAGTGCACTTTTTCAATAGCACAATCTTACTTTTGATGCTGTACAAAACAAACTTCTATAGAGTGCATACGATAGGAGACATCATAACTTATAAGAACGTTTAGTGTCTTGAACACAGAAAAGGATATCTAGCTATGCGTGTAAGCGACAACGCTTTTCTTCGATCGTATACTATATTTATATCCACATTTGCGCTCACGGATTGTAAAAGCCTCATATTCTTCGGATCAATAAACTAAAGTCTTTTGGCAGAGCCTGAATTCTATGAATTACCAACCCGTGAGGAGTATAGAATTCGAACTGATGTCGTTCTCAAACGAAAATTCTAACAGCCTGAATGTCTCAAAGAATGCAATAGGATCAATGATCTTACTTGTGTTGCATTTAGCATACAGTTAATATGTTCAATAAATGTTCATATCTCGCATCGGACATATAAGTAATGGATAGCCCAACGGGGAAGTGCCGAGTTCTACTTTTGCAATTTAAACTTTGAGATTATTGAAGAGATAGGCTACAATTGAAAGTATTCAGAAAAAATAAATATGATGAAGAGCAATACGAGGCATACTCTGAGCTAGAAGCTGAGTGTCATTTGGAGCACGAAGTCATTGTGATCACGGAGTGTTGTTTCTTCTTTGTGGCGACAATACGCTCGACTGAGGATGAGGGTATGACGATAATGATGAGAATATGATTTTCATACAAGAGTGCGCTGGCATGACTTCGAAGCTGATGAATGAGATTGGTTCAATTAAATGATAACAATAATAATTATAAATCTGACAATCATTTAAACGTGGAGTTGTGCTTAAAAGATGTTGATCATTGGAAACGGTGCGAAACCTAAGAGTATTTGGAGATGAAATACTAGCCATTCTGTCTATATCACAGAATAGTTTCCCTATAGGACAAAAAAAGTCAACCGAAAAGCACTCACATAGTTGATCGCGGCTCAGCAGGTTTCGCAAATTATCAGGATTCTTTGGGTTGTTGAAGTTAGGCAAACTTTATAGCAGCTTGTTGCAGTAAAATTGTGAATAACGTAGAATAGCACTTTGAAATCCTCATAAGCTTATGATTCAGAAAATTCGGACAGATTTCAGCTCTATTTGTATTATTACTAAATTTTGGATCTGGAATCATCAGGAACTATTACAAAAAAATTTTTTACATAAGGGTTTACCGAAGGTTTTGAGGGTAAGAAACTCGAATCTACTGCAAGTTTTTTAAAATTTTTCATGAAAAAAATATTTTTTTAAACGAAGGGCCGGTTTTTACAAAGAGCTTTTTTTTTATAAAATTTGGCTAATGAGTTTTTGGGTGGATGAACTCGAATCTGGCGTTACTTTTTTTCAAATGTTTACATGGATCAATTTTTTTACACAAAGGACGACTTTTTTGTAAAAAACAGTTTTTTTATAAAATTTTACTAAAGGGTTTTTGAGGTCAAGGAATTTAAATCTGATGTTAGTTTCTCGAAATTTTTTTATAAAAAAATTCTTTTTCATGAAACTTGACCAAAGGTTTTCTGGATCGAGGAATTCAAATCTGATGTTAGTTACTCGAAATTTTTTGTGGATGATCTTTTTTTAGGCAAAGGACAATTTTTTTCGGAAAAAGTCTTTTTTATAAGGTTGACTCAACGGTTTCTGAGATCGAGAAATACGAATCTGATGTTAGCTTTTTGAAATTTTTCATAAAAAAACTTTTTAGGAGAAGGGTTATTTTTTACGGAAAAATTGTTTTTTGGTGAAGTTTGACCGAAGGGTTTTCGAAGTCGGGAATTACAAATCTCAAATCAGGTTTTACATGTTATATAAACAGAAACTTCAGTGATATTCATAGAGGATGATATCTACGAGAAAGAGCTGAGCGAGTCCACAGGCGAGCGTTACTTGCTGTAGCAATCGTTTCTTTTCTCTCACTGTAGCAGACACTTCTATCGTGTTTTCTTATTTTCTTTTTTCATGTAATAACTTAAGATTCTCTCTCGTTAACAATTCTTCGTCGTAAAATGCGCAACAACTCCAATACTATATCATTTATTTCTTCGAACAAACATAATCCAGAAAAGGTTCATAACGATTTCATCTTCAAAAATGAATAAGAAAACTTCGACGAAAAAGTATTGGAAATGCACAGCGACAAACTGCAACGCTCATATCCACACGAATACAAATCACGCATTTTTGAACATAAGAGGCGAACACAACCATCTGTTAGAGCCGGAGGATTTGAAAGCCAAAAAATTTCGAACAGTACTTAAGAAACGGATGATTAATGAAACGGTTCCGATACAAAAGATTCATGACGAAGAAACCTTTAAAGACAAATTTGATCAAGAAACTCTTGCATGCATTCCACTTGCTGAGCATATACATATGATTCGAATTACTTATGTCATATGCGTTTTTATATTCCCTTTCTAGAACCTGGACTGAATCAGGCTCGACGAAAACTCACACCGGCATTACCAACATCTGATTCATTCGAGATTCCTAAAGTGTATCATACCAACACGTCTGGTGAAACTTTTTTAATTTGTGACAAATCAACTTCACGAAAGAAATGAATGCTGGTGTTCGGTAGTCCTAGACAACTTCATGTGTTATTCGAGATTTCAATGATTTTTCTTGACGGAATATTTCTCTCGACTCCGCCTTTTTTGAACATGTTTTCACCATTCATGGAATGAAATTCGATTGCGGTATGCTAAACTTTCTATTTCACAAATACATAATGATATTTTTTGTCTTTTGGCTTTTACGTGCATGTTTGCTCTGTTACCAGATCGAAAAAAATCGACTTATGAGGAGTTATTTCAGGAGAAACATGAGCGAATTATATCGGACTTTGAAGTCGGTTTGATTCCAGCTATATCTGTTGAGGTAAGATTTATCGTCATTCGAGAAAAACATATTTTTTTATTTTAGTTTCCTGAAAGCATTCATTCTGGTTGTTTTTTTTTCATTATCAACAGTGTCTCTATCGTCGCATTCAATCTCTCGGTCAAGCAACAGCCTATTGAGACGATGAATTAGGTCGCAATCGTTGCCGCGAATTGATGGTCTTACCGCTCTTACCTGTCGACAAAATTGAAGACTCATTTTATCATTTACGTTCGACAATAGATTCAGCGGTTAAAAAGCAACTTTGAGATTTATTTATGTACTTTGATAATTATTGGATCAATACTATACCACTTCACGTGTGGAACGTTCACAATAGTCCTTACAGAACGAATAATATATGTGAAGGTACATACATTTCCGCTTTTCATAATATTAACACGAAAATATTCATATTTAGGCTTTCACAATTGGCTAAACAGACGAATAGAACGCCCACACGCAAATATATGGTCCTTTATCCGGTGTATTCTTGGCGAACACACCCTATTTCAACACTTATATGTACAAATTATCATAGGCGGTAAGCGTCGACCAAATTCAAATGCTGCCAATCGTATTCAACAGCGAATCGACATTCTGGCAGCACGTTACAATAACAACATAGATACCGAAGAACTATTAAATAATTTTTCTTTACTCATCGCAAACTGAAGATGAACTTCGTAATGAACAAGCATCTATGCGCCAATTAACTCTATTTTTTATCTCATTTTCTCGTTACTAATGAATATGTTCTTCGGTTTTTTCTTTCATTCGAAAGGTTCTACCCGTTCGACATTTTTTCTTTCGACGTTTTCGATACATACCATAATCAGGGTCGAGGATTTCGAATATGACCTTAGTATTTTCGTGGTCGCGAATCTTCGGCTTCTTTCTCACTAGTCTCTAAAAGAGGTATTTTTCTGTATCTTCCTAAAATCTTTTGCAGAGGCTGGTGGTGTGAAAGCTACTGCTGGCTGTGGTGTAGGCCAATATGGTAGTTTGGAGTTTACAGAAAAATATTTAATACACCATACATCATGATATTTCTAATTGAAGAAATCAGCAGAAGTGGTATGATCTAAGTATCATTTTTGTCCTGTATGCTGCGATAGTTCATGTCTTTTAGAAGGAATTCAGTGGAAATAGTTTGCAAAGTCATATACCCGTCAGTACAGGGTGCTAAATAATGTTATAGAAGGGGTGACGCTATAATTGCGATTCAGAGGTATGGTGAATTTTATACCAAATGGAAGCCCGTGAAAAATGGGATCTACTGAGACTAAACAGTAAGACCTTAAGAGGATTTCGTAGGTGAAACTTGAAAATAACGAAATTTTCTCTGAAAAAAAATCGCTAAGAATCTCTTTTATCGAATAGTATTTGAAACAAGGAACATATGACAAAGGAGTTTACTTTCTTATTACTTGGTGAATACAATCAATAATAATTATGGTATCCATTAGCCTTCTTTACTGCACAAAGTCTGGATGGATACGAACACAAAAGAGTTTCAAATAGTTCGGTATCTTCTTTCATGCCAGTCATAACATTTTCAATGTGCATCTTGAGTGTCTTCAAGACATCGAATCAGTAGATCCCATTTTTCACGGGCTTTCATTTGGTATAAAATTCATCATACATCTGAATCGGAATTATAGCGTCACCCCCTTCTATAATATTATTTACCGCCCTGTACAATTCGGTCTCAATAACTACAGAGACATGGACTACATACAAATACTGTTGTAAATATAGGGAGCACTGATGAATATTTGCTTGAGAACAAATCATAAAATAAGACTTATCATCTATTTTCTTTTGGTAATCAAATGAATGAAAAATCACCATTTTCGAAGTAGCAATGAAAGGAAGCACAGTTATTCAGGTTTAAAGTTAATCAGAGGTGAAAAGCATAACAGAGATATCATGGGAACGGCGAGCCGTTAGTGACCGACCGGAGGGAGGCCGACAAACGACTATACGTTTAAGTTCAAGATTAATCTTCAAGTGTACATTTGGAATAACCTTATTAGACTGCAAAGGTTTCTGGAAAATGACAAATTGGTACGGTTCTTGAAAAAGAAACCTCTGTCCTCTATCTACTCTAGCGTGTGACATAGTGGCATGATTCAGCTGAATACTAGTAGCAATCAGTGCCTGATCTGTCTTTCAAAGTTTCTGAATGTATTTAATATTAGAAAAATAAAGAATACTTTAATTTGTGTAACAAATTGAAACGTTGTTCTACGTCCTTTTTTTCTATAAATCTACATTGCAATTTTGCGCTCACCATTGAGTTATTCTTATAATTGCGATTACATCTGATTCATTCTGTTCTGTCGATGTATTTCTTTCTGTATGACACTATGATTACATGTATGTACATATGTAATATACGTGCGCAAAAGACGAAGAGTGATTATGACACTCGAGACGAACTGAAATAGTACATTGGCTGTTTTACACAATATTCTGTCTCCGGTCAACTCTGTATAAATAAATCAAAAGAAAAGAGAGGAAGTGAGCGAAAAATATCAAACCAGACGACAGAATTCGATCGAGAATGAAAACATACTTGTCGTTCGTCTTATTACTCACTGTTGTTGATAAAATTTTTGCAGGCAATGGTGAATATTGGAATTATGAAGATCACGGTTCGTTTCTTCGCAAACTAAATACTTTTAGGCAGACTCTCATATGCACATACATTAATAGGTCCTTACACATGGTCACAAACATATCCTGAATGTGCTGGCTGGCGTCAATCGCCACTCAATCTAGATTACTTTGATGTTGTCTACAAAAAATTTCCACCCTTCGTATTCTCTTCAAGTTTCGATCGTCCTCATGTTTTTAATTTGAAAAATAACGGACATACAGTTGTCGGCGAATTACCAACGGGAATGCCACGAAATGAAATTCCACAACTAAGTGGCGGTGATCTGCCTGGAATTTTTCGATTTACAAACTTTCATTTACATTGGTGTGTACTTTTGTATGCATTGCAGGGATAGTTTCGTAAATCGTGTTTTCTTTTGTAGGGGTGAGTCACCGTCAGAAGGATCTGAACATACGATAAATCATGTACACGGTGCTGGAGAAGCACACTTCGTGTTTACTAATGAAGTAACAAAGCAAACAGCTGTATTTGCATTTATCATTACCATGTTGCCCGAAGGAGAATCGAGCGCATGGGAGGCATATGTTCATAACGCGGTCAAACTCATTCGTCACGGTACACACACACAGTTTGTAGGAAATCTAATGAAACTGATGGAAAATGGAAATTATTTTCGAGATTTTTGGAGATACAATGGTTCGTTAACGACGCCACCTTGTTCAGAAGGAATCATTTGTAAGCAGCAGTACAAATACAACTTCTCATTTTTGCTTTTCTTTCTATAAAGGGACGATATTCAGTCATCATATCATTTTTTCATACAATGAACTACAAGCCTTGTCATTGAATGTTTTACATAAAGATTTTCGTCCAATTCAATTGAGAAATAATCGAGTTATTTATCATTCAACACTTGGCAATACTGCTGATTCCCTCCGATACTGTTTCTCCTGGCTACGAGCAATGCCGACAATTTTTATCATTGTGATCTTTTTAGACTTTTAAAAAGAAATCTTTATTATATACCGTCCTTTTAATGTCAAAAATGATCGGTAACACAATGGAAAATAATAAACAAGGAGATTGGTCGATTTTGTTGAATTATATCGTATTGACACAACGTACTATTCTATGTTTATAAAGTTTAATTAAGCTCTCTTTAATATGCATATTTTATCTTGTGATAAGTGTTGTTTTTTCTCATTCTTTACTCTCTGTGTTAGACTTCGACTAAAAAAGCACGCGGAAAAAAAGCGATTTCTTCGCTGACGAGAGAAAGAAATTTTTTGTTCTGTGTGCGTCATGGTTTCTTTCCTTCCTATTTGCTTGTCGTCCCAAAAAAGAATGTACTTTTCAATGCCTTTCGCGATCTACAAGCGGAACTATATAATTCCGAGCACTCATCATTCACTACACGACGGTGAAAAAGAAAATACCAGTGTAGCAATAACAGCCTAAATTGAAAAATTGACACAGAAAAACTTACTGAGCATTCTTTATCGATGCCTAATGCCATAGTCGGCGATGCTGATTTAGCGGGTAAGATTTCATACACGTTAGTACAACAAACAGAAACGAATAGACTTTAATAATTGTTCGTTCATCGTCGTTTCTTTTCTAGTACAAGGAACAAAAGAAGTTGAGTTGTCGGAAAATACAAGCCAACCCATTTCATTACACGAGAATGGTTCAGTGACCGTTCCACTTTTCACGAAAACATCAACGACTAGCTTGACAGACCATCCTGAAGTGAACAACAAAGGATGTTGTGTAATTGTTCATCGATGGTGGAACGTTGATTATCGTTGTCAACACCAAATTATTGAATTTGTCGAAAGACCCATATTTCATATGTTCATTATAATGTTTGTGTTAATCGATTGCTTTCTTGTCATAGGTGAGCTCATGTTCGACTTTTTTAAACTTCGAGAACCTTGTCATTCGAAAAATTCTCATCATGAACACCATCATCAATTTGAAATGATTGCTGAAATCCTCCATTATTCGTCATTGATCTTACTGGGAATGTTTCTTCTCGAAGTTGTTGTAAAAATTTATGCATTCGGCCGGCAATGGTGGAATTTTCATAACAAGAAAATGGAATGGCTAGATGCAATCATTGTGATCGTATCGTTTGCTGTTGATCTACTACTATTGCATAAAACGAGTATGATTGCTGAGATTTCTCTGCTGTTCATTTCTATTCGTCTATGGAGATTCGTAAGTGAAAGACATTATTCGATCGAAAAGCATCACATTTGTTTCATTTTTAGATTCGAATAGTCAACAGTGAGTATCTTTGTTTCTTTTCTCTTGTTCGATTACAATATTTCTATTCTTTTTATGAATAGGCGTGGCACAATCTGTTCGATCACAAGATGAAACTCGAAGAGAACATTTGGCAGCAACATACATTCAAATGATTGAGTTACTGTTAAAAATCTCCGAACAAAAGACCAATACGATGTCGGAGTTTTGTAATGACTTCGAATTCGAAAGTCGAATTCAAAACTACATCCAAATCGATCAGCAATGTCATCTTATGATTGAACATTGCTCAAAACCATCATCATTGAACACTATTCATGACATGATCCATCGCTTACAGAATGCCATCGATCAGATGGAATAAAAACGAGTGAAAGTCAGAAGTTTATTTTAGCATACCAAAGCTATTTCCAGATTTCGTACAAAAAAGGCGAAGTGCGCCTGTGTTATTACTGTTTTGTATGACACTATAGCCCAAAACTATACCAACCAACACTCAAGAAAAACGTCTTCTTAAAACTTAGTAATAACATATTCTTTATGTAAATTATAATTTCTGGTCCAGGCCAATTTCGAATTTTTGTACTCGATAATTTTCTTGACGATCAAAGAATAAATCTGTAAGATTATTTAAGTACCCTAACCATCTTCCTTTACCGTTATCATTAATAACAACTTTCTCTCGCGCATCACCCTCTGCACCAACGTGCAATATTCGGCGATTCCACCAACCTGAGACATACAGTTGACCCTGATGATCCTTCGCTATTCCTGCAAAGACTTTTCCTATAGTATGCTTATTTGCATATTTTCCTCATTCTACGATACGATCATTCTCTTTATCTTTTATATACAGAGAATAATTATCATGAACCCAAATAAACATAGGATTATGTATTTGATCCAGACGAGAGCTGCAGAACCACGTCCGCCCGCATCTATTGTCCCGACTGTCTCTCCTTGTCTCTATCGTTTGACACTATAAGATTCCACATCCGACACATAGAGAGAACCATCTTTATCCATTGCTAAACTATGACAGAATATTTGATAGACTATAACTTGTGGGTTTTTACTCCCATTATAAGACCATCGAAGTATTCGACCAGAGCCAGGACGAAAGTACATTTACTTGGCATCGAATACTCGTACGTGTACGCGTACGGAATAAAGCAAATTTGTGTACTTGTTGTCCAAGTACAAGTCGCATACTTTTCAAGTACCTCGGATCATTTTCGAAAATACACAGCTGTGTATACAGTTCACAGAAATAGTTCAACTTTCAATGATTGCAACTATGTCGTTACTGAGTCTTCATGTGGTTTCACAGCATAAATAATGTGATCTTATTACGAGTTGTATGAACTTTGTCTATATACCGTTGTCTTTCCGCTTCTTTGTTCGAGAACAACGTCGAGAATGAGACATCATAAAGATATTAGTAAAACAACAAACAGAAACAACACCTAGAAATGAGGAGGAGAGGACTAAACTTTTATCGCAGAGAGTAGACAAAGATCGTCTCGTCCTTCGCCTGAAAGCACGTAAAAAAGAATCACCTGAAACACAATAGACTAGAGAGTACACGCAATAAAGAAATAAAAGACAACTGACGGTCACAGTATCTGCTGATTAACACGTAAAAAAAACTAACGTCTAGACGAGTTCCGTGAGTATTGAAGTTCGTCTGGGTGATAGAATTAATCCTGCTTGGCTAAAAGCTCTCTCGACAGGAGCTGATGAAGCCTGAATGGAAAATACACGTCTGACAACAGTTTCCAACGAAGACAATTGAGAACGTTGCCAATACACTGAGAATTTCGCTCGCACAGGATCGGCTAAATACATGTTCAGCTCATCGATCGGACTGAGATTTGACTCAAATATCGAATTAACACCGTCATCATAATGGAAAAGCTTTAGTCTTTTCACCCCTTGGACATTACCTGATTCTGTGGTAGAATTGTTGAAAGTACGAGGCGACGATGATGAGCGTCTTGTACGATATTGCACTAAATTTGAACTGGCGTCACTGATCTGTCTGCAGTTGTCTAACACTCTTTCGGCCAACAGCTGCTTCATCTTCGATTCAATGCTGGGATTGTAATTCATTTGCTGAAGCCAGTGAAACTTGAGCTGATGATCCAGGACAGTTCCCGCAAAATAGTCTGGGTCATAATAGGACTCGTCATCGGACACAGATTGATGCATTAGATACTGAACAATGCCGGAAAATCGTTTGTTTATTGACAGATCGAGTTGCGTAATCAGTTTCTTGAGATAAACCAAAGATTCTTTCATGTTCTTCAAGTGATCCAGGAGATGAACGACCGACGGCACGACAAGGCATACCGATGAGTAAAAAGATGTATAACCACGTTGAATATCTCTGATGTTTTCAGAGTGCTTGCTGGTTGTTGCGTTTCGATGTCTTCTTCAAGTATAAACAGATTGTACTGATGTAAATAATTGTACAATTGCTGGCATAACGAGATAGAGAGTAATATTTTCTAGGCTTTTGTTGTTGGTCTGAAAGTTGAGAATAATATTCTCATATGAAAATAAACTCTTCGGTCACGTCTGATGACGTCTACTTTATTATTTAATATTGAACAGGACTTTCGTAGTTTGTCTTGTTGCTTTTACAGTCATTTTCATTTGAGCGGACGTGACGCAGTAAATGCATCATAGGAAATCGATGATATTTGATGCTGAATAGAGAAACTAAAAGAGATATGTACAAAGTAGATGATAGTTTGAATCAGCTGAGAACACGTATACAAAAGAGGGTGATGATCCAATCCAAGATGGTTTTCTGGACTTTATGAGAATGATTTCTTTTATATTAAAATCAAGTATTTTTTCATACTTATGGTAACATATGTCGTTTTGCGCATTTCCTTTCTCTTAACAAATTCAATTAAACAATTAATGCATAGATGTTATCAATGTTTAGAGAAACGAAAAAGTCATGTACTTATTCTTTTTCCATGAAGAAAGTACTTTATAAGAACGTCGTCTATCTTCGAGAAACGAGAGTGAGCTTGACGTAATATATAATTATTACAGTTAGTTAACAACATCTAGTTTTGACGTTGAATGCTGATATGATCACACAAAATTTTTAAATAATGATTGTCGAGGAAAACTCGTGTCCTGTTCAGCTTGGCTTGATCTCATAGTTGTTGCATAAACAGATTAAGAAAATTAATAGTATATAGATAATTTGTGTCACTTTAAGAGTCGTTGTAGAACAATAATATTCGATCCAACATCAATTACGGAAGAATATTTCAGAAATATCGTGCTTCTTTCCAACGACGAGAATGATGAATCTCATGTGATACGCAAATAGATGAGCTTATATGTAAACAAGAGAAGACTATTTCGCAAATGATTTTCATGACATCGATCAGTAACAACACTGATGACATCAATGTGTTTCACCATGCCCTAGGGAAAATCTTGGAGCTTTCAGCCACTGAACCTTGCAGGAACAGACGCGGGTCTTGCAAGGATCCACTGGTTTTTCCTGAGGAAACGCGAAAATCCTGAAAGAAGTGTGTAGCCACGGTTTTCCAGGATCCTGTCAAGTTTTCAGTTGAACGAACGACAGATAATAGTAGGATTCATCACTGTTTTAATGCCAGGATTCGACCAAGAAATCAAAAAATCCTGGAAGAAGTGTGTAGCCACAGAATTAAAGGATCCTGACAAGATATTGAACAGAAAAATCAAGGAATTATCAAGTTTATTGTCGTAATCTTTAAAGGATCCTTCCAGGATTTAACAAACTAAAAAGCAAAAAAAAACTAATTCAAGATCCTATGCTGTCCAGCTTTTAGGATCTTGCCAGNGATCAATACGCAATTCTCTCTCTTCAAAAGGTAAATAGTGTGTTTGATCGATGAGGAGAGTATACTCATCAGTTGCTTTTCCTTTGCGACGATTTAGAAAGCAACCTATTCAAGCAGAAATAATCTCTTCTTCAAATTTGGGCTCGTTCGACCGTGCGAAACCGATCAAACTGATTATTCATGGTTTTACTGATCAATCATCGAGTGCTTGGGTAGTTAACATGACGCAAGAACTGTTGAAACAGGTTAGTAGCCATTTTCTAATCAATAACTAAATACACTTTTCTCTAATTGGATTTGTAGGAAGATATGAATGTCATTACTGTTGATTGGTCTGGTGGCAATCAATTTCCTTATGGACAGGCCGTGGCCAACACCGTCATTGTTGCAGCTGTTATTCGACAACTTCTTCAAGCAATGGTCAATACCGGTGCAAAACCGCAACAAATGCATTTAATTGGTCATAGTTTGGGTGCGCATGTATCAAGTTATGTAGGACGAGATTTTCACAATTTAGGAAGAATATCTGGCTTAGGTATTGATCCATGTGAGGAAGTTCAAAGCATTTATACGCTTTTTCCTAAGTATAGATCCTGCCGGACCGGAATTCTATAATTCTCTCATTTCTGATCGCCTTGATCCATCCGATGCTATATTTGTGGATGTCATTCATACTGATGGTGCACCACGGGTTCAGTCCGGTTTCGGTCATTTAGATACATTAGGACATGTTGATTTCTATCCTAACGGCGGTTCTGCCCAGCCAAGTGAGTTTCTATACATTCATTGACAAATATCACGTTTTCCTTTTCTCCAATCAAGCTTGTGGTAGCAATACCGGAGATGTTCTTCTACAATCAGCATGAAACTTAATCAGTACTTTCAATATAGGACGTGAGTCTAACCTCATCTCTAGCGTTTTCATATGAGCTGCCGATTTCTGGAGTTTAGATGCCGCTAGCTCAATGTCCTGCAATCATATGTCAGCAGTATACTATTACACTGATTCGATTAATTCACATTCGCCAGCTTTTGCTTATCCTTGTTCGGATTATAAAAGTTTTGAACGAGGCCTTTGCACATCTTGTGGTTCGGCGTTTGATCAATGTCAACGCGCCGGTTACCACGCTTCATCGTTGAAAACACTTGGTAAACTGTATCTTATGACTTTGAACGGAGTCAAACCGCCACATTTCGGTCTGTCATACTGTATCAACAGAAAGATGATGAACGACTTAAGTTGAATTTTAGGTTTTAAATTCAAGGGAACACTTGAATNTAAACAACAAACACGCGGTATCATAAAAATCAAATTCGACGAACAAGAAGAGGAGACATCGCTATTTGAGTATGATAGTGTACATACGTTCTTTTATAAGAACCTATATCTGGTCTATTTAGTGAAAAAATACTATTCAGAAGTAGCTCCGTCAATTCAAAAACGATTCTCATTGCTCGTCAACCTGCATCATTGAAAGAGATTACCATTTCGTTCAAAAAAAGCCTAAGTTCAAATTTCGGTCTTGGTCTCTCTAATCAATGGAACTTTCGTTCGGTCAGCATTCTTGATATGCAATCTCATATAAGGCAAGTCATCTACTGACGAATCGTGTCGTAGTATTTGGTTATTTTTCTTTGTTTAGTTACACATTTTGTCCAACAACAAATTCAGCGACGATCAAGAGCGGTTCAAAATTGGTCTATAAATTGTGTTGAATCCTCATAGTGTGTCGAAGACCGGTCGACATTGATTGTTCTATACAGAATTATTAAGTATAATAATAAATAGTTGAAAAGCAAAATCTGATCAAAACGAAATCTGTCACCAGTTTTAATAAATAATAATAATAAAAAATAATGCCACGTGACATACAGCGACATCTGGTTATTCTGGAAAAAAAACTTCTGGCAAGGTACAATGTATAAAAAAGTATCTATCATTTTCAAATATCTTTTTAAATTAGATTAGTAAAGCTCATTAATGTAACCAACCGTGTATCGTCTATCATGGTAACGCTATCGCATCTAGTATTTTTGTTGGAAAAAAATTGCCATTAATCCTTAAAAGTGCGTCGAACGCATATATTTTGATATTATGTAGCAAACGTAATTTCAGGATTAGGTTGATTCTGAATCACGAAGAGATGCCATGCTCTCACTCTCATTATCAATAATACCGGAGAAAAAGTCCCGCTACAGTGATATCGTTGATGAACCCGTGCATAATCTTCTCGCACCCATAAAAGGCTACCAAGATAAACCACTCGTTTCACTTTCGGAAGCTATTGATCCAGTTGCTGGTTTCTTTAATGAAATCGAAGACAATGCTTTAGTTGCTTTACATAATTGTCAAAATCCAGCTGATGGTCTGACTCAGCAAGAATCAGCTTCCATACATCTTTACACAATGGAGTTCGATGGTGGACCAAGTTTATATCGACTACTCAATCGATCTCTCAGGGCTGAGATTCGCGAAGATTTGAAACCATGGTTTGCCTATTTGAAATTATTTCTTACGGCTCTGTACAAATTACCTTCACGGCAAATGCGAGTGTGGCGTGGTATCCGTGATGTCAATCTATCTTCGAAATATAAGATTGGCACGAAGTTTGCTTGGTGGGGAGTAAGTTCTTGCACGAGTGATATGAAACTGCTCGAGTCCGAAAAATTCTTGGGTAAGACCGGACAGCGAACTCTATTTTCAATTGAATGTATCAATGGAAAATGTATTGTTGCACATTCGTATTTCAAAAACACCGAACAGGAAATTGTTTTAATGCCTGGTTCATATTTTGAAGTGTTAGGTCAATTGAATCCAGCACCTGGTCTTCATATTATTGAATTAAAAGAAATTACACCACCGATGACGCTGATCAAACCGCCATTTTCTAAATCGAACGTAGCATCGAGTTCTTCACATATGCCAGCAGCAGAAGTCTCTACAATACCAAAGAAAAAACCATTACTAGAATCTGGTACAGAAATTCTGTTCATTGTCTCTTGTATACTGGATGGTATTAGCTTAAGTTGACAGGTTAGAAGTCACATGTCTAATAGGAGTCACATTGGAAAACTAAATGCAGGGCTTTTATGAGGCGAGAACGATTAGTCGGCTGCATATGGTAAGAAGTTTTGATGTGTTCTGCGACTATGAAGATACATGATAGACTATTGAAAGTACTCTATTTAAACTGTTTAATTTAACACTAGTTATACATCTATCTTTAACCATATTTGCCGACGTTTTCATTAGAATAATTTAAGTATCTCATAATTCGTTTTAGGAGCATATACCGAACTACTCTCAAGTAATAACGAAGATTTCAAAACCGTCAGTCGAATGTTCTTAGATGGTTGGCCAGGTGAATTGAAACATGACGTCAAAGTTGAAGCAATTTATCAAATTCATAACGATATACTAGAATCACGTTTTCAACAATTTGTTCATTCCAATCCCAAATTTGCGACAGGAAATTCTATAGGATGGCACGGTACATCATCGAATTGTCAGAATGGTTCGTGTTCATCTTCGGAGTGTCATCTATGTCAAATTATTCGAAAAGGATTTAAACAACAGTTTGCACGTCGTAATACTATTTCATACAAATGTTGGGGACCAACTACCTATTTTTCGAACCGAAGTTTTGTTTGCCATACCTACAACGGTGGTTCAGAATGTGATACCAAAAGGCGATGCACAATAATGACAAAAATAAATTCTGGACACGCGCTAGACTATTGGAGGATCGCAAGATATTGCACTCCTGACCCCGCAAATTATATTCCGGCTTTGGTAAAAACATATAAATACGATAGCGTGGCTTTAACCCGAAATTACTATATTGCTCCAGCAGATTATATATTACTATATAACGAGTTAGCTGCATTGCCGATATATATAGTTGTGTACTCTGCTCGAAAAACCTTACAAGTAAGACAATCTGCAGGTGAGTATTGCAGTTTTCATCGGGAGCACCATATGGTAAATGCTGGTTGTGATGGTCATCAATGTCAAAGTTTGAAATGTGTCGATAAAATATGTCTAGATCACAATCACTTCACACAATACGATCATATAGATCCCAATACTTATGTTAAGCACAAGTCACACTACAGAGAAATCTTGGATGAATTGGGCTCAACTGTTTATCCATAAAATTTTGAACTTTTTGAGAAAAATACTCATGAAGAACTATAGCTATTTTTATCAGAAGGGCGTAAGAGTGAAAATCGATTCTGATTCGTATTTCGATAAAAATATTCATCATTAATGAGACACGATGTGCATATTGATTCTTGTAATAAGTAGTTTCTAGAATTTGTCTACTATCAAGCATTGACTGTCAGAACATCATAGGTTAAAAGACTTTGTAAGTCTGGGCACCGATTTAGTGTCCATATTTTAAAAATATTTGAATTCAAATTTGTATTTATTAAGGACACAAAAAGAAAATACTTTGATTAGTGTAAGTGATCAAAAAGTCGTTCTGATTTCTCATGTACAGTAAATCTACATTTCAATTTTCCGTTTATCATAAAGTTATTCTTATAATTGCGATTACATCTGATTCATTCCGTTCTGTCGATGTATTTCTTTCTGTATGACACTCTATGCTTGCATGTATGTACATATGTAATTTACGTGTACAAAAGACAAAGAGCGATTATGACACTCGCGACGAACTGAAATAGTACATTGACTGTTTTACACAATATTCTGTCTCCGGTCAACTCTGTATAAATGAATCAAAAGAAAAGAAAGGAAGCGAGCGAAAAATATCAAACCAGACGACAGAATTCGATCAAAAATGAAAACATACTTGTCGTTCGTCGTATTACTCACTGTTGTTGATATAATTTTTGCAGGCAATGGTGAATATTGGAATTATGAAGATCACGGTTCGTTTCTTCGCAAACTAAATACTTTTAGATAGACTCTCATGTTCACATACATTAATAGGTCCTTACACATGGTCACAAATATATCCTGAATGTGCTGGCTGGCGTCAATCGCCACTCAATCTAGATTATTTTGATGTTGTATACAAAAAATTTCCACCCTTCTTATTCTCTTCAAGTTTTGATCGTTCTCATGTTTTTAATTTGAAAAATAACGGACATACAATTGTCGGCGAATTACCAATGGGAATGCCACGAAATGAAATTCCACAACTAAGTGGCGGTGATCTGCCTGGAACTTTTCGATTTACAAACTTTCATTTACATTGGTGTGTACTTTTGTATACATTGCAGGGATAGTTTCGTATATCGTGTTTTCTTTTGCAGGGGTGAGTCACCGTCAGAAGGATCTGAACATACGATAAATCATGTACACGGTGCTGGAGAAGCACACTTCGTGTTTACTAATGAAGTAACAAAGCAAACAGCTGTATTTGCATTTGTTATTACTATGTCGCCCGATAGAGAATCGAGCGCATGGGAGACATATGTTCATAACGCGGTCAAACTCATTCGTCACGGTACACATACACAATTTATAGGAAATCTAATGAAATTGATGGAAAATGGAAATTACTTTCGAGATTTTTGGAGGTACAATGGTTCGTTAACGACACCACCTTGTTCAGAAGGAGTCATTTGTAAGCAGCAGTACAAGTCCAACTTCTCATTCTTGTTTTTCTTTCTATAAAGGGACGATATTCAATCATCATATCATTTTTTCATACAATGAGCTGCAAGCCTTGTCATTGAATGTTCTACATAAAGATTTTCGCCCAATTCAATCGAGGAATAATCGAATTGTTTATCATTCAACACTTGGTAATACTGCTGATTCCCTTCGATACTGTTTCTCCTGGCTACGAGTAATGTCGACAATTTTTATCATTGTGATCTGTTTAGATTTTTAAAAAGAAACCTTTACGATATACCCTCCTTTTAATGTCAAAAATGATCGGTAACACAATGAAAAATAATAAACAAGGAGATTGGTCAACTTTGTTGAATTATAGCATATTGACACAACGTATTATTCTATGTTTATAAAGTTTAATTAAGCTCTCTTTAATATGCATATTTTATCTTGTGATAAGTGTTGTTTTTTTTCTCGTTCTTTACTCTCTGTGTTAGACTTCGACTAAAAAGCACGCGGAAAAAAGCGATTTCTTCGCTACCGAGAAAAAGAAAATTTTTTTTCTGTGTGTGTTATGGTTTCTTTCCTTCCTATTTACTTGTCGTCCCAAAAAAGAATGTACTTTTCAATGCCTTTCACGATCTACAAGCGGAACTATATAATTCCGAGTACTCATCATTCACTACACGACGGTGAAATAGAAAAGACCAGTGTATCAATAACAGCCTAAATTGAAAAATTGACACAGAAAAACGTACTGAGCATCCTTTATCGATGCCTAATGCCATAGTCGGCGACGCTGATTTAGCAGGTAAGATTTCGTACACGTTAGTAAAACAAAGAGAAACAAATAGACTTTAGCAAATGTTCGTTCACCGTCCTTTCTTTTCTAGTACAAGGAACAAAAGAAGTTGACTTGTCCGAAAATACAAGCCAACCTATTTCATTACACGAGAATGGTTCAGTGACCGTTCCACTTTTCATGAAAACATCAACGACTAGCTTGACAGACCATCCTGAAGTGAATAACAAAGGATGTTGTGTAATTGTTCATCGATGGTGGAACGTTGATTATCGTTGTCAACACCAAATCATTGAATTTGTTGAGAGACCCATATTTCATATGTTCATTATAATGTTTGTCTTAATCGATTGCTTTCTTGTCATAGGTGAGCTCATGTTCGACTTTTTTAAACTTCGAGAACCTTGTCATTCGAAAAATTCTCATCATGAGCGCCATCATCAATTTGAAATGATTGCTGAAATCCTCCATTATTCGTCATTGATCTTACTGGGAATGTTTCTTCTTGAAGTTGTTGTAAAAATTTATGCATTCGGACGGCAATGGTGGAATTTTCACAACAAGAAAATGGAATGGTTAGATGCAACCATTGTGATCGTATCGTTTGCTGTTGATCTACTACTATTGCATAAAACGAGTATGATTGCTGAGATTTCTCTGCTGTTCATTTCTATTCGTCTATGGAGATTCGTAAGTGAAAGACATCATTCGATCGAGAAGCATCACATTTGTTTCGTTTTTAGATTCGAATAGTCAACAGTGAGTGTCGTTGTTTCTTTTCCCTTGTTCGATTACAATATTTCTATTCTTTTTATGAATAGGCGTGGCACAATCTGTTCGATCACAAGATGAAACTAGAAGAGAACATTTGGCATCAACATACATTGAAATGGTTGAGTTACTATTAAAAATCTCCGAACAAAAGACCAATACAATGTCGGAGTTTTGTAATGACTTTGAATTCGAAAGACGAATTGAAAACTACATCCAAATCGATCAGCAATGTCATCTTATGATTGAACATTGTTCAAAACCATCGTCATTGAACACTGTTCATGACATGATCCATCGCTTACAGAATGCCATCGATCAGATGAAATAAAAACGAGCGAAAGTCAGAAGTTTATTTTAGAATACCAAAGCTATTTCGAGATTTCGTACAGAAAAGTCGAAGGCGAAGTGCGCCTGTGCTATTACTGTTTTGTATGACACTAAACCAAAACTTTACCAACACTCAAGAAAAAAGTCTTTTTAAAAGTTAGTAATAACATATTCTTTATGTAAATTATAATTTCTGGTCCAGGTCAATTTTGAATTTTTGTACTCGATAATTTCCTTGACGATCAAAGAATAAATCTGTAAGATTATTTACGTACCCTAACCATCTTCCTTTACCGTTATCATTAATAACAACTTTCTCTCGCGCATCACCCTCTGCACCAACGTGCAATATTCGGCGATTCCACCAATCTGAGACATACAGTTGACCCAGATGATCCTTCGCTATTCCTGTAAAGACTTTTCCTATAGTATGCTTATTTGCATCTGTTAAAACAGGTCCGTCGGTTGTATCTTTTCCCCATTCTACGATACGATTATTCTCTTTATCTTTTATATACAGAGAATAATTATCATCAACCCAAATAAACGTAGGATTATGTAATTGATCCAGACGAGAGCCAGAACCACGCCCGCCCGCAACTATTGTTCCGGCTGTCTCTCCTTGTCTCCATCGTTTGGCACTATAAGATTCCGCATCCGACACATAGAGAGAACCATCTTTGCCTATTGCTAAACTATGACAGAATATTTGAGAGGCTATAACTTGTGAATTTTTATTCCCATTATACGACCTTTGAAGTATTCGACAATTAAAACTATCACAAATAATCAATCAATTATTCCCTTTTCTGAAAAAAAAGGGTTATAGCCGCGTTAAAACTGGTTAAAGTTTGTTTGTTTGTTTGTCCAAGCTAATCAGATTGCAGCATTTCATAAATCAATGAAAACTTAACGATGTTCCTTACAAAGTGATTCTTGCAAGGTAATCGAGGTCAAGAATCTCGAATCTGATGTTAGTTTCTGGAAACTGCAATTCGCTAATTAGTTAATTGCTAATTAAGAAATGAAAACCTTTCTGGTTGTCGAGTCAGGGTAGACCGAAGGGTTTCTGACATCGGGAAATTCGAATTTGAGGGCGAATTTGATTTTATGCACTGTGCCTGGGCTGATTCCTTCCTCTTTACAAAGGAAATATTGGTCTTGAGCTGTTCTGAAATCTTTTGTAGAAGATGGTGAGCTGAACGCTATTCATAGACGTCATGCGTACAAAGATAGTAGCTCAAGAACTTACAAGAAAAGATCTAATGCATTGTACATAATGATGTTTCTAATTCAAGAAGTCCGAAAAGTGGTATGAGCTTAGTATCATCTTTGCTTCGTAGTCTACATACACCATGTGTTTTCATGGGAATTTAGTAGAAGTAGTTCGCAAAGTGATATACCCGTCGGTGGAATTCCATCTTAGTAACTACAGACGCGTGGGCTATACAAAC